ACCTACCTACCGACCTACCTACCTACCTACCTACCTACCTACCTACCTACCTACCTACCTACCTACCTACCTACCTACCTACCTACCTACCGACCTACCTACCTACCTACCTACCGACCTACCTACCTACCTACCTACCTACCTACCTACCTACCTACCTACCTACCTACCTACCTACCTACCTACCTACCTACCTACCTACCTACCTACCTACCTACCTACCTACCTACCTACCTACCTACCTACCTACCTACCTACCTACCGTACCTACCTACCTACCTACCTACCTACCTACCTACCTACCTACCTACCTACCTACCTACCTACCTACCTACCTACCTACCTACCTACCTACCTACCTACCTACCTACCTACCTACCTACCTACCTACCTACCGACCTACCTACCTACCTACCTACCTACCTACCTACCTACCTACCGACCTACCTACCTACCTACCTACCTACCTACCTACCTACCTACCTACCTACCTACCTACCTACCTACCTACCTACCTACCTACCTACCTACCTACCTACCCTACCTACCTACCTACCTACCTACCTACCTACCTACCTACCTACCTACCTACCTACCTACCTACCTACCTACCTACCTACCTACCTACCTACCTACCTACCTACCTACCTACCTACCTACCTACCTACCTACCTACCTACCTACCTACCTACCTACCTACCTACCTACCTACCTACCTACCTACCTACCTACCTACCTACCTACCTACCTACCTACCTACCTACCTACCTACCTACCGACCTACCTACCTACCTACCGACCTACCTACCTACCTACCTACCTACCTACCTACCTACCTACCTACCTGACTACCTACCTACCGACCTACCTACCTACCTACCGACCTACCACCTACCTACCTACCGACCACCTACCTACCTACCTACCTACCTACCTACCTACCTACCCTACCTACCTACCTACCTACCTACCTACCTACCTACCTACCTACCTACCTACCTACCTACCTACCACCTACCTACCGACCTACCGTACCTACCTACCTTACCTACCTACCTACCGACCTACCTACCTACCTACCTACCTACCTACCTACCTACCTACCCACCTACCGACCTACAAAAATACCACCAACCCCCCCACACCCTACACGTCAAACTAGTGAGTAAAATTCCCCCCCCCAGCCATGACAAGAAGTCCTACTCCCGCGCCAATCACCTCCAACCCCCCCCACACACAATAGAGCCGCCAGCCACCCACCCTGGTAAGACACCACTCCAGACAACGCACCGCGCCACCCTACCACATCCATCAACCACCCTCCTCCACATACGAGAAATCCTTCAGACACCTACGATCCAGCAGCCAACAGATATATCAACATAGAAGAATTTTTAAAATGAGATTTAAATAAAGCATTTCTGACTATATTTACCCGCAAATCCCAAGTACGAACACCCGATGAGTGACAGGTTGCAAATTTTTCACTTAAAAATCTATTCCATTTGACAATAATTGGTGAAGCTGAGAATACAAACAACAATAATTATCGAATTACTAAATTACCAAAATGTATCAAAATGTGATAAACTTCATTGAGAAACATTCAGATGAAAGACAGAATGATCATTTAAACTTTGAACTCCTTATTAACATGTGTACACGACTGCGTACATGATAAATTCAGGACCTTGTTGTCTCGCATTAAATGTTATACCTTTAGGCTAATTGTTAAAAATACAAAGATCCGAATTCTCAACTTCCTTAAATTCATAATACAAAGTGACTATAATTCCGTGACGCTTATGAACAATTGCTTTATTCATGTATTTGTTTAGTAGCAAATCTTGTAAGCGAAATTTATTTTAATTCATCCTGTGGGGATTGCTTCGGTTTTGCCTTAAATCATAAGCATTATAAGCAGAAATTCAAACAACTAACACAAAAATGAATTGAAAGTTCACCCGATTGAACAAGCTAGTGGCTATCAAAATTCAGTAGCTAAGTGGATATTGCGATGCCCTTTGAAGTGAACAGTACTGGGTTCGAGTTCTAGAGTGAACATCATCTCTGGAATGAAGGTACATACAGTTGATGAGTCCCAAATAGGACGAAGCGTGCGTCCTAGATTCCACTGTTAGGCACCATCCATCTCTGCTTAGTAAATTATTTTTTTTACCGACTCCGTTTGTTCTTGTGACCTACATCCCAGAGAATGAGGAAGAACTTTACAGGGTAGTCAACATAGTCAATTCATAGTATTTCTATCTGAAATATCGATATATGTAAGTCTGCAAGCATAAACTATTCGTATGCTAATTTTCTAAATGATAATAAAGTTGATGATAAATAAAGCCATTAGAAATTATACAGACTGCATGAATAGCTGCTTTCTCAGAAAAGTGATTTTACATATTTTTAGTTATTCCTATTATATAATGTCCAGTTAATCATAAAATAAATAATATTCACTGGGATTGTCTCGAGTGATAAGTGTTCGGAGATGGTACTTTATTGTTTGATTCCGTCAAATCTTTCGAAAACATAGTGGATCGAGTTGTCATTACTATTTACCAGTACTCTTCTTGAATAAAACACAGCACATTATGTTTTCCAAACTAATCCGAATAGTTATGATGCAATCAGAATTCTAAAATGATTATAAATCAGTCAGTCTTTTTGAGGGTTGAAAGAGTTAAAGTGTTTCGAATAAAAAAACTGAACAAAGACGAATATAAGAATGTGAATTTTCGACAAAGCGAAACCTGTACAATACCTATATATTTTGTTCAAACAATATTTTTTAAACAGAATAGCTTGACAAAATAATAAGTTCATTTTATTAAAAGGCCTCTCATGATATATACAAAAGATCACAAATTACAACGATTATGTTAAACATCAACTAAATTGAACAGTAATTGAATTTCAAAATCTATGGTAGATTAACGAGTTAAGCAAATAAAGAAATTATATATTTAGACAGTTATTCGCGGAGATTATGTATTCTTTAAAATTAATTTTCACTACAGTCGGGAGGTTAGTCCAAGTTGTCTAGCCACAGCAGCACGATGACATCAAATGAGCACGATAAGTAGCAAACGAATTGTAGTAACGTAGTTGAAATGATAACGAGAAAGACTGAATATTAGGAATATGGTACTAAAGGATAGCATGAAAAGGTACCTACGAAGGAATACTGAGACTCAAGATTTAGAGTACGACAACAAGCGGATGCATTTTCGATGCTCTGACCGGTTCTGATCCACGTTCCTTAAAATCTCTAACCTACTAGCCGTGGTTATCGCGATGAGACCAAACAGGTAATCCACATTTTCCACCATGGATCCGAACAACAGCCATCTTTTTTGTGGATTGATATTTGCTGGAGAACTAATTAAAATCAACTGATTCAACCTGGATAAAGATACCTCATATGCTTGCACATACGAAGATAAGAATGTAGAAAACTGGATTCTGTTTCGCTGACACCCTCAACACAAAAGGTTCTGGGTGTGAAACAGTGAATGGTTCTGAGTTAATTTATGATTTTAATGAAATAAACATACAAATTTTCTAATCATATTCATATAATCATGGAATGTGTTCATTTTCGTATACGAAAATTTGATAATTACGTTTGAAAGGAAAAAAAATCTCAGAAAAGAGCTGTTATCATTGTTATTATTATCAGTTATAATTATAATAAGCACCCATGTAGTGTTAATTTTAAAAAAATGTAAAGAATGTTAAAACAAAGTGAAAATTAGTTAAACTCAGTAAGTTGAAACCTATGAATGTAAACTGATTTCGCATATCATAATTTTTCATTCAATTACGTAATGTCTCATTGTTTTTAGCGAATAATTATAAATATTGATATGGACATTTCTAGCTAATCATGTATAAATAAATAATAGTTTTATTAATTAAATTATGGCTTGATAACGTGTATTAATTTGACTCGATGAGTATATAGTGAACTTTGAAATTCATTTTCTTTTATTATGGCATGTCATCATGTGATTACTTGCAGAAAAGTTAAAGAGGTAATTCCAGGAATTCCAGTGAGAAGCTGTAATTAGATAAACTACGTCTTGCTGGATGTGAGACAAATATCAACAATAACAATGGATAATGGTCGTTTAGTACCTGTAATCGACTGGATTTATATACCTAAACCACTAAATACCAACTTATAGGTTTGAAAGTCAAGAGCCCAACGCAAGGCTTGAAGATTCTGGGTTCTATTACTAGTGTAGTTGTAGACGCGCAATTCTTAGTCCTCAATTAAGACGAAATAGTTGTTCATCCCTTTCTAGTTTTCAATGATTATCTAACTGAAGCGAGTTAATAATGTGATACTTAGAACTCAATCTTCATAACACTCTATAATGTCAATAGCTTAATTAATATGCATCATAAGTGATGTAATTCTACGTTATTTAAGCATGGTAAGTTTATCCTAATAAATTTATATATCTTACGAAGGCGTACCTCTTTTGTAAAATAATAATACCGAGTATTAATCATTAAGGATAGTAGCTTTAAATCTATTTATACATAAAACTACAATTTCATTGAATGTTCAGAAGTTCTATTGAATAAATATTAAAAAATCGAATTAGAAACTAAAAATAAAAGATGCAATTGAATCAAGAAAAAAAATGAGATAGAAATAAAAAGAACTAACTTCAAAATAGAAATAAAAATAATGATAAATATGAATAATCGAAACAGGAATTTAATTTATGCATATAGATGATTCATTCACTCAATTTTTAGTGAACAAAATTCAAACAGATTTTTATACTGAATTAGAAAGAAAATGAGAGAGAGAGAGAGAAGAACATTGTAGACAGGCATATAGGCAGGCAAGTATGTAGGTAAAAAGAAGTTGGGAATAATCAGTAGACAACAACAAAAAAAATAAATATAGCAAAATGAATTTCCAAAAGGAAAACATGGAAGGCAAAGATATAAGTGTAATAATTTGTTTATATGATACATGGGGGTCATATATTTCTCTTTATTATTGTTCCTTTTTTAAATAGAAATATTATTGTTTCCCCTAATCATAATATTATATAAATGTTATCTTATTTCAATAATGATGTCTATTTCATTTTTCTCCATTATTATTATTATGAATAGTATGTAGAATTAGCAATAGTAATCTATAATAAAACAGAAACTAGTTTATACATGTTTCAAAGAGATAGAAAAAAAAAGGAAAAAAAAGGTGAACACATTTTTATCTGATGTCTCATTGTATAAAAGTAAAAACAACAACAACAACAATAAATTGCCTACAGAGAAAAGTATAATGAATTAAAGTAGCGTGAATAGAGAAATTGTAGAAAGAAACAACGAACAAACAAATAATTTATCTTTATCTCTTTTTATTCTGTAATATTCATGATATTAATGATAGTTTTATTGTAGATTGTTTAAATAAATTGATAGTTGTAAAATTAAACAAATACAATATAAGTCAAGGTATTTCAACCTGTTAGTATTATACATTGAATAAAGAGTTAATTTCAAGTATGAGAATATAGTTTCCCAAAGAATTATGCTCTGGTTAATTAGATTTTTTGATCATTGATCATACTAATTAATCAAGACTTTTACTCAGTTTAATTAATGGATTATAGAACATGAAATCCTTCTGAATATAAGAAATGCAATATTAAAAGAACGAGAGTAAAGTGTCTTAAATTACAGTGAACACCATATAGTAGATTATGATTACTACCGAAAAGTATTTTGTAAACCTCATGTGCTAGATAAGCACAGAAACAAGTTGAAATCGTTTTAAACTGGATGACGGTTTTCAACGACATCAAATAATAATATCTGAAATCTGTTTCAATTCTTAAAAAACTCCTTATTAAATTGAATAATGGATAACTGATAGACTTACAAAGAGATTCCATAGATCGAACTGGTCGTGACATATCCCTTAAATCCCAAACACAAATGGCACGAAACTGATCTGCGGATGTAGTAGCTATAAGAAATGGATGAACTGGACTCCAATCCAGTGAATTGATCACACGAACATATCCACCCAGACTAGTGTTTGTACTTAATCGACATTCATTGACATCCCAAAGAAGAAGTTCACATTTATTAGAACGCTAAAGAAATATGGAGAAATCAAAGACATCAACATATTTAACAGTACACAAAGCACCTTAAGTAAACAGCCACAGATTTATGTAATCATGTATATAAATAAATGTTCAGATATAAGCACTGAAACAGTTTATTATGAAACGGTGACTTTATAGTATTACAGTTACTAATGGTCGTTACGTAGCTATGTAGAGAAGAACTATATAATTACAGTATATCTTTTTATAAATAAACACGAAAAACAAAAAAAAATTATTTGCCCAAACTTTTGAAATAATAAGTTACGTCATTGGGAAATAGTTTAAATGATAAGCACATGGACCATTAAGACGTTAGTCAATTATGGACAATTTAGGACCTGGGACGAATAAGTACTGATCCAGGTTGTAAAATCTCGTATAATAGAGATCAGAAATTAGTAAGATGAGAAGCGTAGTTTTTGGTGGAGTTTTGTTCTCTGAGCTGGATGGTTTGGTCGAGGAGCTTTCATAGTTATTCCGAACGACATCATCAGCACAAACTTCAGGTAGAAGTGAAGTGTTTGGAGAAGCATAGTAAAGGAATTAGTAACAAATGAAGTCAAAAACTAAGGACAAAATGTATGGTTTAAAAGGGGTAAATGAGGATGAAAGCATGGAATAACACTAAACTCAAGATTTAGAGAAAGATGGAGGACGGATGCAAATGCACTGCTGCTACAAGATTTAAATCATATAACCAAATATATCCAACCAAAGATTACCTTGATCCTGAAAAGGCCAAATAAAAAATCTGCGCTCACCTAAGCGAGAAGTGACCAAATCCAAAACATAACATATGTTTCATATTACCGAGTATTCAAACTGACATTAGACAGTAAACAAAACACACAATAAACTATTTGATTTAAAAAAATTGGATAGAAGGTAAACAGCTATGACTTACTGCAATTGCAAGTTTTGTATGATCGTTTGGATGCCAAGCAAGTCCAGAGCATCCTAACTTTGAAGGTAAGGAAAATGCACTGTACTGTGAAGGATGTTTCAATGGGCATATTACAAGTTCATCAGTTCTAGATAATAAATAAAAACAACAAATAGTATTTGTACAATCTTACTAAAGTTATACGAATTTGTCATAGTTTTAACATAATTTAAACAATGAGATTAAATTAGCAAAAGGTAATCCAAATTCACACTCTATATTTCTTTATACATCACCATTGTCGATGTAATACAATGTGCTTTAAAAAATTACAAAACAACTGTACTCATTCATTGGGTAGTGAAAATCTTTCTTCAACTGTTACTTGTAATCACAATTAGTGAATAAAAGGAGTTAAATTTGTCAGCAGATAATTTAGTCCTAGCAGATTGTTTCATATTGAAACTAGAAAACAACCAATTTAACTCGGTAATCGATTGATCTAACCTGAGCAAAAGATATAAAGACGACACTTTTATCATTTTCAACGAAAATATTGACTTAATTGACATTTTGAGTTCTTTCAAAACATACTATACTTTCCTAGACTTTACTTTAGAAAATAAATCAGGCCATTTTATCTCACTTCACGATATGCTTCTGACAAAGGGTGATGAAACCTTAAAAAGGTTCATTTACAGAAAACAAACATGGAATGCCCAACTAACCAACTTCTATAGCTGTGTTCCATTAAGTAGAAAAAGAAATCTTATTCGGTACTTGTATTACCAGATAAATACGATCTGTGGTACTAAATGCACTGAAAACTTGAGTTTCTCAGAAAAACGATGGATGAAGTCGGTTATCTAAGCCGCTTTGTAGACAACACGAAGGAAATTCGGAGCAAGGAATCTGGAAATTCTGTCCCAAAGAAATATTTTTGTATGAATCCGGAATTTAAGGGTGACCGAAATTCTGATGCATTTGAAAATCGGCTATCGATAGATGTGCAATAAAGCTGAGACTAAAGTTTACTAGTAGAAATTTGTCTACCGTATGCGTAAAGGTTAAGTTCCCACATCTAGTTGCTCCTATGTGCATCTACCAGTTCATTTGCTCTTGTGGAGCAAGGTACATAGGCTGCAGCCAGAGCTCGCTTTTAACTCATATGATAACATGTTCCAGTGTGATTCTATAAAGGTGAGAGAAAAGAGTTAAGAGTTCTGTTCAGGAATATTTAATGTTTAGTGGCCCTATATTTAAATGCCAAGTAAACTGGATAATGATGTTATCGATGGGCCCACCACTTTTAGTGTGGCTCTTTATCTGACTTCAATTAAATCGTATTATGATTGTCATAGAAATACACATCCCAGATACCCTCGGTATAATCATCGACTTCACTCGACTTAGTGAATAACGGAATTGAAAGAGTCAAATACGAGGAATGGTTTCGAATATGTATATTTCACACAATCGTTGATCCAGACAGACGATCAGAGAAATGAAGCGGAGAAAGCGAAGAGGAAGGAGGGAAGCGAAACGAAACGACGCTCAGAGGAGAAGGCAAGTGAGACAACCCAATTTTGATCAAGCGAGATTCAACATTTATATTCGGGCAAAAATAAATTACAGACGCTTGATGAATAGGGTAAGTAATTAACACATATACGATCATATAAAAAAAGTCAGGATTAATAAGCGAATAAATGACAAGGTCAAAATGTAGCTTGAGAAGAATGAATAAGCTAGTTTGTCCAGACGTTCGAATAGCCTATGTGGGTTTGACATGATACCAGCCACTATAAGTCGATCCTAGCTACGCCGTTGATCGACAGGTTGATTATTTTTAGGTTGCTTATATAATTCGTCCATAACTACCAAGATTTCTTCATTCACAACTTAAAACAACAGATCTTACCTTCCATGAAATGAAGACATAAATATATGCACAAAAAATGTACGTCCTGTTCTTAAATTTACTATGACCTTAATCCATCATTATTATCACCTTTCACAAGCTAATAGCTATCAGGACTCAGTAGCTAAGTGGATATTGCGATGCCCTTTGAAGTGAACGGTACTGGGCTCGAGTCCCAGGATGAACGTCAATTCTGGGATGCAGGTACATACAGTTGATGAGTCCCAAATAGGACGAAGTGAGCTTTCTATATTCCACTGCTAGCCACTATCCATATCTGCTTATAATGCTTGTGAATCAAGGTAATGTCGAGGAAATCCGCACAGGATTCACGTATGTCAATAAGACACTGATCAAACGCGGTCCTAAACATCAATGAGAAGATTTGAACAAACAATACATAAATGAATTGTAATTATTATCTTTTTTTCATTTCATATTAGAAAATATCCCCCTATGAATAATTATTTCTCACATTCTCATGACTCAATTCATAATTTTTTTCAGACATCATTTCATTTAACCTCTCTATTACCTTTAATTATTGTAACGAAAACATTTTAATTATCTTATTCCACCCACATTATAATCCACTGTTAATGTATGAATAATACAAGGCATTTTATTTCCAAACACAATCGTGTCATTATTGGCACTAAGTAATCTAGGATTATAACTTTCCCATTATATATATATAACTCACCCACATAATGCAACACAACGTCCTATAGGATCAGCAGCAATTTGTGAGATCTATAATAATAATAATAATAATAATAATAATAATAATAATAATAATAATAATAATAATAATAATAATAATAATAATAATAATAATAATAACAATAATAATAATAATAATAATGGCGAAATACACAAGATTAATTGACATTTTGAAGCATTTAATTAAATATTAACATCCTATGTACGAATGAAGCAGTTCTCAAGTTACATTTTGAGCACAAACACCTAACCAAGATGTCATCAATAAACTTACACAAATGTAAACTTGTGTTAATTTAATTCGGCTATTTATCCACTCTGAAGAAGTGGCTTACATATTTAGTTACGAAACGTCAGAAATACAACTCTTCTACTAATTGGGTTATAGCAAAAAGTATATTTATAATCAGGAAATCTTATGTAAAAGATGCAAGTGAGATCGTCTCTGATCACTTTTTTATACCAATAATATAGTAAGTAATGGTTTCTAAAGTAGATAGTGGTCGATTGTATATCAGTCGTCATAATTTACGCACATAGACGACATAATCAAATAATTTGCTGTTGTCACTTAAAAAGTTATACTTCGGAATATTCAACAAAAGTGATTATGTCCATCAAAGCAATCGCTTATCAAGTTACTTATGAAAGCTTATGAACAAGTCAGACTAATTTCAAATTGGTAACAAATAAAGAAGTCATTAGCAAATCATCTCAAGAGACAATAAAATATGACATACCTGGAACCCTTTTAATTCCAATAAACTTGTATTATGGTTAGTCTACAAATTGAGATAAACATATGCATATGTATTAAATATGTAACAAACTATATATAAGATCAGAAAAATATATCACTAAAATGACTAAAAATATACAGAGAATAAACGTTAACTTGAACAATCGGACTAGCAATAGATCAGAATACCAGAAATTGAAGTTCATGTCGGTAGAACAGTTAGTACAGATGAAGTTAAATTCAGCGAAAGTGACGATGAGTCATTTGTAGGACAGTCTCCAAGCTAAAATTCCAAGTTTATAACCTCTAATATTACTAGGTAGTCTGTATACACAAAGACAAACAATAGAACGGTTCAACGGTGCAGGTATTTACTTTTCATAAAATGAACTGATAAATTCAAATTTGATATACAAACTATTGCCCTACAAAAGTCCAATGGGGTTTCGGATGGAGACAGTAACACTTAAACTGTTTTTTGAGCTATAATAGGTTCATACTAATTACTTTCTATCAATTTTTCATACATTCATCCATCTATTACATAAAATCCCAACGTATATTACTGCTATATAAATATTAGGATGATTATTTCAGTCATTTGAATCATATACCAAGTACAGGTTTATGTGATTGCTAACGAACCATCATTTCCGTGTACAAAAGCTGATGATACTATATGGTTGGACGGATGAAAGTATATGGAATAGGATCCAGACCCGAGACCTATTTGTAAATAGTAAGAAGCTACTACCCCACTAAGTTGATTTCTTGAAGCAAACTAAAACCACAGAAAAACGTATACGCAGCTGTTTCTAAGAACACTAAAACGATATACAACTTAGTAGTTATTTATAGATTAATACACCTCACTCTATATGAATTAAAATAAAACAGATAAGACTACGAAAGACTACAAGCCTAGATAAATTAATAAGTATATAGTTCTATGAAGCGCCATTTTCAAACAAAGCTACCGTTTTATCAAGTTATAATAAGTACACCCAACTCTCGCTCAATATTCTCTGCAATGCATCTAAGATACTGTCATAACGTGAAGAAACTGATGATCATGAATAGATAGTTGAATAGCTAAGTTCCTCACTCACATCATTTAGGACAATCTGAAATAACTTCCCATGACAAAAAAGCAAATAAAACTCAAGATATGACACAAACTAGCTACCAAAAATATCACAGTTGTGACTTAACTGGTGAATCAACATATGCACTTCTTTGAAAATACGAATAAATTGTAGACAGTATAATGGTTTCTTAAATGCTACATTCTAAAGCTTTTATTTAACACTTATAGTAAGTGGTAACAAATGAGGTGAAGTTGATTTGAATCAATCACGAAATGATAGACAATCGAGTACATGAACTACTACTAGACGACAGTTCCAAGTTTGAAAAAGTATAATTTAATACATAGGACCGTTAGAATACTGTGATAAACTGTCTAATAACATAACACATTTAACCAGATCCAATCTGTAATTACTGTCATATACATTACAATCTATAAAGGACGAACAAAAGTCAAGTTAACAGTAAGCAATAGAAGACACTTGCGCTAGAACTTTAAAACATCATATTCCTCTTATTAATAAGTCAGCAATCAGGGCATCAACAAAAATTCAAATAAGGCGCAAAACAATACAACATGGTGTGTATTAAGATAGCATTGTAATAACATTAGAACTATACATTTATGTATAAAAACTTTACAAATATATACGTATATGGGAAAAGTGAAAAACAAAAACAATAAACGACAATAGAGGAAGAACAAAGAAGATTATTAGTTGAGATCAATCATACTACATAAAATAATTTTGCATTATATTAAAAACAACAAAATATGATAAACAGGATCAAGTGTGTTCCGAATAATAATAATAATAATAATAATAATGGTAAAAATAGTAATAGAAACTTCTGAAAAAAAACCTGGTAGAGTGAAATAAACGAAGAATTTTAACATTATAATTGGTAGCTAAACAATAAATATTCTAACTGGAGACCATGAATATGTGCACAGCACATTGCCTTCGTTGAATGTGAAATGTGAACAAAAACAAAGACGAAAGTTAAAAATAGAGAAATATAATACACCTACATGAATATTCACATATTTGACTTTTTTTTAAAATTTGATAATATATGTACATTTACAACACGGTAAATATCGAATAAATAAAAAGTGTAATTGTTACAGTTCGTGTATAAAGTATTAAAGGCACTAAAGAGTGACTTCCTTTATTGATAGATATTTCTTATTTGATACATACAACAACAAGATATGACAGGTTTGCATTAAATACATTTCATACATAGCAGACATTAGACCATATTTAGTGCATCATTTTAATATTTTAGTATTTTAAGTAAAATTTCTCGATGAAATATAATGATTAGTTACTTTTTTTTTTAAAAAAAACGGTAGTAAAGGAAACAAATTAGACTATTTTATACAATCAGAGTAAAAACTATCATCACACGAAAATAATTCCTAGAAAAAGAAACAAAACAGAAGAGAAATTAATTAGCTAGACATTTCTAAGGCAGTAGCTCCACTGCTATCTGTCATTGCACTGGTGTTTTTAGATTCTGTTGATAAACGTGGATGTGTCTGGGATATAGATACAGAGCAAGTAGAATCTTTATGATCTGGTGATGAATGTATTTTTGGTTCATCATCAGGAAAAGTGTAATGATTAGTAGAGATGCTACAATTGATATTACTGGAAAAAGAACTCTTATTGTAGACAACTTTTTCGTTTGCCATTATAGACTCTTCATACTCTTGTCCATTTTGCAGTCGCTGTTTACAATTAGACTTCGGTAATTCTTCAAATCGTTGACGTTTTTGTGGTTTTAAGTTTGCATCCAATTGACTAGAAAACTTCTTGAATCGTTTTGATGATTTTTTGGATTTTGTTACATTAGCGACATACTTATCGCTGCCACTACGTAAGGAACGGTAACTAGTAGGAGACATTAAAGAGTTTATTTCTTTTGATATTCTACATTTTGACTGACAACCACGTGGAAGAGAGGATAAACCTATGCAATTACCGCGACTAGAACCACTAGTCAGTTTCTTTCGCTTTAAAGGTGACATAGAGGAAGTACAACGTAATCTATCTTCTCGGTGACTTCGGCGGCTCTGAGATGAACAAGATGAATTCAAAGAGACAGTTCGTAAAACGGATCGCCTGGATTGTTTGGTTTCACGAGAGCAGAGCTTTGGTTCTGTAGATAAGCTAGCTTTAGGAATGTTTTCTTCTTCTTCACACTCATCATCACCATCATGAGCAGCTTGTTCAGCCTCAAGAGCAGCTTGTTCTTTTTTGACATCAAACAGGCAAGGACCAATTGAGTTAGGTGGTGAGCTTGCTCTGCTTAGTGTGTTGCCTCCTGCTGAACTGGATGCAGGTGAGTAGGATCTACAAGGGCGCATAGGCTCCTCAACTGGTGATGGACCAGATCTTGTCATACCAAAACTAGGCTTTGATGGATATTCGGAAATTTTAGGAGGCTTAATATCAATTGGATCGTTAAACTCGTACTCCGAAAGATGGTGTGGCCGTGGGTTAATAGGCACATTGGTCAGTGAGTCTGTTGACGATATATCATCGGCTAAAGTATTCGGGTTGGGTCCGAAACCCTGAAAAACAAAACGGAAACCATTAAATACGTAATACCAACGATTAATTATGAATAGAATACGATATCAAGGGTATAAATCAATATTAACAGTTAGAAATACCATAAGTCATACATTAGTCTACGACCCCATGGCCGAAACAAAGGGAAACTATGAACAAACAAAAACCTAATGAAGTGACAATTAGTACAATGTTTCAGGATTAAGAAAATCATCTGAAAACAGAGCCGAAGCACCAAAGACACCATTACCTTACCCTAAAATATATTACACAGATTTATGATGCTTAAGACAGCTATTAGTTTTATATGTAAGAACGAGATAGTTGAAATTTCAAATAAAAAGTGTAAAAATATTGAATATCAAAAAAAGGAGTGTCATTATGGGTTATCACACTTTGCAAGAACATACATTGAAAAAATCGATAAAACAGCGTTAAAGTAAATAATAGACGATTGTTGCATAATAAGATACTCAGAGTATAAGAAAAAAGGTTGAGGAACTATACACATGAAGGACTGTCATTGATTTAACGCAAACTACAAATCATCTAGCAAGCAAATACTAACACTAGCCCGACCCCGCGGTTTGTCTTTTCCAAAAGTTCTGTTCTGTTTAAATGGTCTAGCCGATTTTCTGGGTGATCAACAAGTAGGATTTTTGGTGTACTTCAAAAAATGCCATTCATAACTCTAATGAAACACTAAAAATTCACGTGTTGTCGACTCGAAAAGTATGTCCCATGTGATCATAACCAAGGATTGAGTGTCAACGGGGTGCGAAGTCACACTTAACTTCAGTGAGGAGAAAGTCCTAACAGAGCAAGTTCTCATTACCGGTAGTTTATGTGCTGTAAGGTTAACAGGTTATATCAGTGTGAAAAGAACTGACATCGGAAACTGTGCTATTTTGCAATCTACACCTATGCTTCGATAAACTACAGCTCGGATACAATAAAGAATAAATTACATTAACAATTACATGACCTCAAAAAAAAGTTCAACGGATATAATGGTGCTAGCTGGGGACTGAGTGTAAAGATCAGACAATTACGAACAAAGAGACGTTCCGATAAACAATCAGGACTTACTGGTCGTAGGTTAAATAAAGTAATCACATTATCCAGATCAAAACCCATTTCTGGTCAGCCCCAACTTTCATGAGCCATTCCCAATATACTACCTGGCGCTTTCTCTCTCCTCTAATTAAGCCTGGACTCAAAGTGATCACGTTGCAACTACCAACTGGCGATGGTGTGGATGTGCAAAAGATTGTCAACTATTTTGAGGAAACAATTTAGACTCTGATATGCTCCAGAATGCACTTGAGTCATCTGTACATTTTGATGATCGTCAAACTTATCATAGTAAATAGATTAATTTCAGGACATTGGCTGCACTTACGATTAGATTCAAACATCCAACACCGTTTTAATTATTTAATACCTGTTTCAAAAATGACGTCCTAGACGTTTTTATGCAGTGCATTACTTGATAATCCTGAGTGAAGACAATTGGAAATTGGTACGTTTATGACTCGGTCTTATGAAACACAGGATACTTTTGTTAGGTAAGAATTCATTACTCTATCCCGAGTTTCTCAAAATGGTTTTAAAGACCATGCACACTAACGGTTTGAGATATCAGACATGCTCTAGAAAAGAATCCAGTGGATATACAGTTAGGAAGTTGAAAGAAATCAACATGATACCCTGGACGTAAGTTCCGATTTAGGTGGCACTCATCAGTGACGGATATCTGAAGTCATGGTGGAAGTGATGCTTTTCGTGTGGTGATAAATAGCACTCCTCAGAGTCAAAATCTGGAGCGTTAACACTGGGCTCTAAGCACTGACTGATCTCTCTCCCTCTAGTAGGGCTGAAATTATCACCTAGTATTTACCAATATACTAATGCTTTACTAGTTTTGTTTTATTATTCACAAAAGTAATAAACACTTTAACCGGACGTATTCTATCTTAGTTGTCTTCTTAATTGGACTGTATTTTTTTAGTAAATACTGGTTTTGTGTAACAACTTAAATCGACGTACATATGTTTCAGTTTTTACGTTGCGCATGATTGACTGGCTGAATAAAATATCATTCTTGATATTTATTGATTTTATTACCTCACATTTTATTCTTGGTCTCCAATTATACCAAAGACTTGTATTTGTTATAAAATCAACAAAACAAGTGATATGGTATTTTTTGAAATTTTATAATTAAAAGCTGGACCCTCGTAGAAGCGCCAGTAGTGATAGTTGGCTAGTCAAACTGAAGTGGATGAAGTCCTATTTAAGCTTGCGATTCAATATTTGGAAGTCGGAAACTCGGACTAAGAAATGATAATGTGAAGATAATCAGATTTGGCAATGACAATCAAAAGACGTTAAGTAACTGCCGTCATATGAAAATCATATACGAACTGTTTCGGAATAAATTCACACGACGGATCGTATTATAGATTTTGACAATTTTTCGTCAATCAGTTTATAGAAAGGGGGGTTAGGCATAACCGTGTTGTTACCACGCATCACAAAACGAGAGGCGAAGAGATAAAAAAGGAACAAACTTTATTTATTGAGACATCCAATTTTATTCACATCGAACTGAGCAGTTCGAGTCCTCTTTAGGACATACTGACATTCAGGTTAATTAGACGAGGAAACATATACAAAGTGAGACCTAGCACGAATAAGCCCCGGCCCTAGTTTCCAGGCCTCCTGTCTGCAAAGCAGGACAAGACCAGCAGGGTGGGGAGCACAGATGGTAAAACCAACGGTGCTGGGAAGATAAACAGTTGTTGGGAAAGAATGCATAAGATAAGAGAATGAAAAGTGTGGAATAACACTAAACTTAAGATTGGTTGGAAGATAGAGTATGGATGAGACAGCATTAGTACAACCAACGGTGTCATGTCAGCCGGCGTCACCAACTATTCATTATGATTATTGCCTTAACCTCAACTAGGAGACAGACCTAATGTACTGATGTTATGTCTTGATGTGCAAACTATTTGCTTCTTTCTAGCCGACTCATGTACCAGTAAAGGTTACTCAGCGGGGAGTCAATTGTCAGTCAGTTAGAACGTAGGACCAGGCATATATATGCATCGGTCCAAGTTGCTATACCTCATTAACACTGCAAGACGAACACCGGACTCATAGCAGTTAGCTCAATGGTGTAATATATAAAGGAAAGATTTTATGTAAGGATATAGTACATAAAGAAAGAATTAGTTGGTAGAAAGAAAGATAGAAAGCGATTTTAGTCTCACGGTTTAAGGGAAGACAAAGAGTGTATACACCTACGCCATTGTGACCTATTCTGAGCCATGTCACTCAAAGTCTCCAACCATTGGTTACAATAATCACGCGGACCTCAACCAAGTAGTTTGCGCCTACCAACATGACTCATACCAGAAGTTAGTACCTTCAATGACTGATGCCACGTTCTGCTTTGGCTGCTCCTAACTTTTTTCCAACCATCTTCAACACTAGTCAGCGCTGTACGTCGTGGTAGTCGGTGTTTAGACATACGTAACACGTGGTCAAACAATCGCAGTCGATGAAGATTTACAACCTCATCAAATCACAAGAGTAAAACCGTGACCCCCTAAATGCCCTGGTACGGCCGAGAGTGGGAAGAGTCCGCTCTCCCTCTCGAAATACTCTCACACGGCCACGCGTATACAGCCTCTGCCAGGGAAGTCCTACTCATTGCCTTCTCGTGGCGGGGGTGTTGTTTACGAAAATGAGAGGACGAAAAGCGAATGTCCGGCGCTTTAACCGGATTCCAAATCAATGGTGCACATGGGCTCCAGTATCCTGCGGGAACGAATGGCGTATGAACCAATCGTTGGTCACCGGCTACCATGGGACTGCATCTCCTTACGATGCTCCACTGCCTTGTGGGTTAGACCTTTAGGTCAAAGGCTCGGGGAGTGGCCCCCTAAGATAACCACCTGCTTCGGTTTGGGCACCCGGGCAGTATCACAGCCCACACACAAATGATGAACTCTTTATGTCTATGGAAATTACTTTTGTCGCTTTGAAAAACAATCAATTGATTCAAATTATGATCACTACAATTATTGTCATTATTAATACTAATATTATTATTACTACTATTATTGTCATTATTGTTATTATTATCATTATTATTATTATTTTCCACATTATTCACCTTCTTTTATACTTATACAGCGGCTCGTCTTTGGTGGAATTCCGACTGTATCTAAACGTTCTCGAGTCACTGTCCGGTTGAAAATTGTATGTTACCACCGAATACGAGGACTGAAGCAGATTTTCTGAAACCACGTGCACCATTCAAACTGGCTGCCTTCAACGTTCGCACATTTATGCAGGTCGGACAACAGATAGGGCTGGCTATGTCTTTGGAAAGTCTTAATATCGACGTGTGTTGTCTATCCGAGACCCGTATTCAAGACTCTGTCGAAGTACTACAAATTCGATCTCCATCTGTCGCTTCGAAAAGCTTGTTTTACGTGCGCTTATCCGGGGACCCTGTGGCATCTTCGTCTGGTCTTGCTGAAGTTGGTGTCGCACTAAGCGCTAGAGCTGAGGCAGCACTAGTCGATTGGATCCCCATTAACAGTCGGTTATGTGCTGTTAGATTAGAAAGTTCCATCAAAGTGAGAAGAAATCGGCGTGAGAAACGATGTCTTTTCGTCATCTCCGTCTATGCCCCGACAGATTGCAGCCCGGATGCAATCAAGGATGAGTTTTACCACCAATTATCTGTTCTTCTCCAGAAAGTGCGTTCGACAGATATTGTAGTACTAGCCGGAGACTTGAATGCTCAGGTCGGGCGTCTAGGCACAGAAGAGAGTCGTTTAGGTGGCTGATGGGGACTCGTTGGTCGCAGGTCAGATAACGGGGACCGTCTACTGCAACTTTGCACAGACCACAACCTGTTTCTGGCTAGCACTAACTTTCGGCACAGTCATCGCCGATGTGCCACCTGGCGTCCTCCCTCTGCATCTCAAGCCTGGACTCAGATTGATCACATCGCGATCAGCTACCGCTGGCGTGGTTGTGTACAAGACTGCCGCTCCTTTTGGAGTACCTATCTGGACTCTGACCATGCCTTGGTCTGCGCCAATCTTGCCTTACTTTTCAGTGGACAACGAAGTGAACGCCATCAACGGATTGATGTTAGCAAGCTGGTTGCAACTTCTGTTGCAAGTAAGTATCGAACTGAGCTAGCCTCTAGGCTAGCTACCACTCCACCGAAAAGTATAGATGAGTATTGGTTGCAATTGCATGACGCCATGAAAATGGCGGGAACAGTCAGTTGTGGGTTTGCGAAACGTCCCGCTTTTAAGCACTGGGTTTCTTCTGGTTCCTTACAACTCATTGAAGCCCGTCGGTCTACTCCGGGTGACCGTGAGTTTGACCATAAACGAAGGATGCTATGTAAGGAAATCGGGCAAAGCTTGCGTAAGGACCGAGAAGCCTGGTGGTCGATGCGTGCTAATGAGCTGGAAGCAGCAGCTGCATCTGGTAACTACCGGAAGCTCTTCCAACTCATCCGAGCCACTGGCAGCAAGAAGTCTGGTGTGAGTGAAACAATCTGCGAGGATGATGGGATGCCAATCACTAACATCCATCGACGTCTTGGACGATGGGCAGAATTTTTCGAAGGGCAGTTCAACTGGCCTGCTGCTCCGGCAACATCGGTCAGACTGTCCTGCCCTCCATGGCCGGTGACGACTGATCCACCAAATGAGGAGGAAGTCCGCAAGGAACTCCAACTCTTGAAGCGTTACAAATCACCTGGCCCAGATGACTTACCTCCGGCTCTTTTTAAAGATGGTGGTGACTTTTTGACTAAGGAATTGACGACGTTGTTCACAAAGGTTTGGGAACTAGAGAGTGTGCCAACGTCATGGAATGAGTCGATAGTTGTCCCTATCTTTAAAAAGGGTTCACGTCGTTCTTGTAACAACTATCGGGGGATAAGTTTACTTCCGATTGCGTCCAAGCTATTGGCTTCCGTCATTCTTCGTAGGTTGTTCAAAACCCGAGAAAGATTGACTCGCGAGGAGCAGGCTGGTTTTCGTTCTGGTCGAGGATGTATTGATCATATCTTCACCCTCCGCCAAATGTTAGAACACCGCCATACTTTTCAAAGGCCAACAATCGTAGTGTTTCTTGACATCAGGGCTGCCTTCGATTCGTTGGATAGGACTGTTCTCTGGGATTGTCTATTGAAGAAGGGTGTGTCTGAGAAGTTTATTAACATCCTAAAAGCCCTGTATAAAAACACCTCAGGCAGAGTGAGGGCATACAACCACCTCTCTCCATTGTTCCATTCGAGCAGTGGGGTTAGGCAGGGTTGCCCAATCTCACCATTCCTCTTCAACTTTGCCATCGATGACATTCTGGAAACAGCTCTGATGAATGTAAGTAATGGTGGTGTGGATCTGTTGCCTGGAGAAAGACTTCTCGACCTTGAGTATGCGGACGATATTGTCTTACTGTGCGATAATGCCCAAGGCATGCAATCCGCTCTTAATCAGTTGGCAATCAGTGTCCGTAGGTATGGTATATGCTTTACACCTTCGAAGTGCAAAGTACTTCTACAGGACTGGCAGGATTCCAATTCTGTACTCACTCTGGATGGTGAACAGATAGAAGTAGTCGAGAAGTTCGTGTATCTGGGTAGCTGCATAAGTGCTGGTGGGGGTGTGAGTGATGAGATCAATGCACGAATAGTGAAAGCCAGAGCGGCTTATGCCAATCTGGGCCATCTATGGCGCCTTCGTGATGTTAGTCTGGCTGTAAAAGGTCGGATCTACAACGCGTCGGTGAGAGCAGTTTTGCTCTATGCTTGTGAAACCTGGCCTCTCCGAGTTGAGGATGTTAGACGACTCTCTGTGTTCGATCATCGCTGTCTCCGAAGGATTGCTGACATTCAGTGGCAACACCATGTCAGTAATGCAGAGGTTCGGCATCGTGTGTTCGGGCACAGAGATGATAGTTCAATTGGTGTCACCATCTTGAAACACCGACTTCGGTGGCTTGGACATGTTCTCCGAATGTCGTCCCAGAGAATTCCACGTCGTGCATTATTTGCCGACTCTGGGACTGGTTGGAAGAAGCGGAGAGGTGGTCAGTGCATGACATGGTGTCGTGGCATGAAAGAAAGCTGCAAAGGACTGGCTTGTGTTGGTCCTTCACGACTCCCTGGCTGGGGTCCGAGAGATGGTGCAACACAGTGGCTAGAGACGTTATCAGATATGGCTCAGAATAGAAGCCAGTGGCGATCCTGCTGTAACCTTCTTTTACTTTCTTCATAAAAAGTGGTTGTGTCTCCTTTACCTGAAAGATTTCTTCTGATTGTACCTCTTCGTCATTACTCTCTTTTTCTTTTGCGTTCCTTAGTTTTTTTTTCTTTCTACTTCTCTTCGAATTCCCATTGTTTTGTGTGGCGCATATATATTGGCGCTCTCTTGTACCAATATTTATGTGTTCAAATAATAATAATAATAATAATAATAATAATAATAATAATAATAATAATAATACAACCTCATCAACTGATTTACCATCATTCCCTAATACCCTGCGTCATTATTTATACTGACATTAAATCATGACATTTACGCAATTGTATAACTCATTGAATTATAATATTATTAACGTTATATTCCCGTCATGACACTAGCAACTCAATAAACTATTTTTTATTATTTAATGACGTAAATGTTTCCTTCTGAAAGTGAGTTTATTCTAATTTTGCGTGTCATTTTGCCTCATTATTACATACTCATCCACGTAGATGAGGTTGTTTTGTGTTATCTTACCGAATACACTTTGCGATATCGTCTCCTATTATATTTGTGTATTCCATCAATTCTAATAAGCTTTTTTTCTCTAAGACCGATAATCTTCACTATGTTCCGAACCATCTGTCATAACAATACCTCTACGAAACTAATTATTCATTTGTGTGGCTATATGGCTATATAGTACATTCATACATTTACACAAGTTGGAGTCAGATAAACATGCCGCTATGATTTACAGTGAAGTAAACTAATCGTGACACAATAGTTTGGATTTAGGAGACAGATTAAATGTTGCTAGAGGTGTTCAAACAAAATCATGTCATCTGAGTAACTTATGTCGATGAGAGAGCCTGCATTTATGAGATTATCTGAAAAGTCAGATGAAGGGTGATTTACTTGTATTGGGATCCTCGAGACTAAATGGAACAAAATCGTGAAAAACAGATTCCTGGGTGATATAACTTAAATTCGCCAATTCGGCGTAAGCTCCGATATGAGCAGTTACTCGGATTAACAGGATTTAGATCAATGAAGTCCTTTACTTAGCTTTTCAATAACAGGTATTACAGAAGTGGATATTATGTTTAGATTAAGGATCATGACATGAGTAATTTTAAAACGGCTAGTTATAACTTGACTGGGACTAAGTAGTGGTCGGGTAGTCCATATCATATTTAATGGGCTAGAAGGTCGGAAGTAAGACATGAATGTATTTTAATTGGTTCATTAGGCACATAGTTCAGTTTGTTAGTGAAAACTTCAAAATATACCTAAAAAATGGCTTCAAGATATCATAATCTCGAGTTCCTACAATAATTTATACATCCCTGAATCGATGCTTTAAAAAAACAATGATAGGGATTAAAGGAGTAAGAGATCAAACAGAGTGAAGACTAAAACGATAAACTCAAATCTTCAGGAGGTATGGTGACAGCTGACGCCTCATGATTACTAATACCAAGTGTTAAGATAATTAGTCTACCAGGTACAGATCTATATACTTGACATTCAGCTACGTGCTTTATTTGGAAAGTGAGTAGTTCCACAAGGTTTTCTAAACCAAAGACAAGGTGGGATTCCTATCCACAGATTGATATTAAATCAAACGCTTGAGTCTATATGGTAGCGCTGAACTTAAAATATGACTACTTACAGCCATTTACATGTGATCCCTTGTGAAAACCCAGTTTTCATTTTAAGATATAAGATCCGTACTCTTTAGATCTTATTTTATCTCTCCTTTCAACTGTAAAAAATGAGTAGCTTTTAGGGTGCTATGTGTTATGTGTACGGATTCTAAACTTCAAAATCGTCAGCAATATGCCTTTGCCCTTGGATATGAGATTACTTCCTTTACCAATTACCTGTACAACCAAATTAGTTTGTATGGAAAAGTGTGAAATAGTGTTTTAAACAAAGCGGGTAAGTAATCTTGACTGCCACAACTAAGATAATCTACAGCCACAAATCATACATATATATGAACATATGACACCAGCTAATGTATGTATTTAAAAGAAACTTTTGATACAACAGGATTTCACACGTAATTTATGAGGAAACAAAGTGGATTAGTATTCTTGAGGTATTGGTCTAACTACGTCATTCAAGTTTGGGATAGAAACAGATATCAGTAAACATCACAAGATATATCTATATAGCAGGCGGGCACTATCAAGGTCATTTCAACGATGGAATTAGGTTGGCCATAAATTAAAGTCTCACCAGGATGACACTTGCGAGCCTAGAAAGCCAGTGGACACGTGAACATCTAGTTTACTGTAATAAATAGTTGTTTCCTTAATTCAGATAATGAGAAAATAGAAAGGTGGCCAGACAAGTCATGCATCCAACGGATATAATGCAAACATGTCAACAACTGAGTGTCAACCTCATTTTAATAAATATCGATACTTAACATAGTTATTGTAAATACGTAGTAGTTACGAACAAAATAGGTATGATTAACAAACAACACCAAAAGAGATAACGTGGGAAGAACCATAACATACTTGATGTGATGAGCAGTTGGAAGGAGCAGGACTTTCTGAAAAGCTCCTAACATTTGATTTTATTGATTTGGGTTGGAATTCAGTGATAATAACGCTATAGCCATTTGCGAAGATTTCGAAAAGTAATGGTGAGGATCGATCAAAGTGTTTCAACCGAAAGTTACTACACAAACCATAGAGGGCAACTTATCAAATACCTGGATACAGACTGCTTGCATTTAGATTCTCTTTTCTTTTTTTGTTCATCATCCTTTTCTTTTAGTATAGTTTGAGCAATTAACTGTTGCTGTTCTACTACCTGAGTATTCAATCTTGGTTTCCTGAATCGTCTTTTGTATCAAAACATAAACCATACCTTGTAGAAGTTCCTTTCCTGGTGTGGCATATTTCACACTTATAAGATTCTTTTGGATTTATGTAGGTACATACACTACAATCCCATTTATCATCCTCGTCACTACGCAGTCTCCTATGAAGTCTAACAAATGCAAACAAAGTAATCAGTATTGAATACAAAATTCCCTTACCGATGAAACTCGCTTGTTTTTGCCTCCATCACACATAGAGTCGGACTGAGTACCACCAAGAATCGTCTTCAAGTTACCCGCACCAGGAGAAAACCTTGAGGTGAAGGTTGATAAATGTGCATTGAAAACTACAGAATATGAAGATGATAAATAACTGTTATATTCATTTTTACTCGATGACAGACAATGAATGAATATTCAGGTGACCTGATTAATTAGCATGTCTTCAGTAATAAGGATAGTAGATTGGTGAACTTGTGTTAATCCTGACAGATTGCCTTTAGGTGAAGGTCCAGTTTCTTTTTGAAAATATTCACTGATGGGGCCGATACCACTTGTTCGGGTAAGACGTTCTAATCATTGACTACTCGATGAAAAAAGGAACCCCATTTTAAATTTATTAGATCGCGATTTATGAACTTTCTTGCCATGACCTCAGAGATTATTAGTGCTGGAGGGGGGGGAAGATAAGACATATTAACACCCAAGTCATAATTAAAGATACGAAATGCCAGTATAAGATCACCTCGTGTCCTACGATACGACAAGGGGAAAAGGTTTAGGCGTTTTAAACGCTCATCGTAAGGGAGTCTAGAAAGACCCTTCACTAATTTCGTTCCCACACGCTGGACACGCTCAAGGGAGTTAGTATCCTTTACCAGACGTGAGCTAGCTGCTTGGATACAGTACTCTAAATGTGGTCTTACATAGGTAGGATATAAAATTCGAAACATTTCCTCGTCAAAAGATTTGAACGCTCGGTGACGTGACCATAACGCACGAAAACCTTCGACAGCGGCTGCGCTGCTATGCGTAGTTGTTTTTAAGCCATGACTTATTATTACTTTTAAGTCTTTATGCTCTTGAACGCATGGAGGAAGTTTACCATCAATAGTATAATGGCAACTATTACCGAGACCGATGTGCATTAGCACACTCTTCCTAGCACTGATTTCTAAGCCCCTCTCTCGAAACCATCTAACTAAACCGTCTAAGTCAGCTTGAAGATCCAGCTGATCAGCCTCTCGTTTTGTTGTTCTCCAGATTTTTACGTCATCCGTTAACAATAATGTCGACGACCTATTCAACAGCGGTAAGTCATTAATGTAGAGAAGGAAGAGCAGAGGGCCTCAGATGGTGCCTTGGGGTACACCACTTTTGACCGGCTTCCAATCGGATAACGTTCCATTGACCCTCAAACTCTGTCTGCGGTCACATAAGAAAATGCATATCCACTCCTGTACAGTACCTATTATTCCGAAGCTCGTGAGCTCCTGCATAGGACCTAAATGTAAAACCTTGCCGAATGCTTTGTTAAAATCTATGAATATCCCATCGACAGACAGACCTTTATCTAAGGCTGATGTCCGATCCTCTCTCGCAATAAGTAAGTTAGTCAAGCATGAACGCCTGTTAGGAAATCCATTTTGCTCAGGAGCTAACAGACTGTGTGAATCTATGTGGCTTAGCAACCTAACCCGAATTATCTTTTCAAGTAACGTAACGACAATGCTAGTTAGACTGACAGGCCGGTAGTTAGATACTATCAGTCTTTTGCCATCCTTAAATATAGGACTGACTATAGCGTCCTTTCAATCTCTAGGGAGTTGAGCTAGTGAAAGGGACATGTTGAAGAGTGTCGCGAGCGGGTTTGAAATAATGTCCGCAAGAGATGACAGCAATCGTGGATGGAACCCGTCAGGGCTCGGTATCTTACAAGGTTTGAGGTTAGTTATCAACGGAAGGACAGTTTCCTCAGTCACCTGTACAGATTCAATGGTTGGTATCGTAGTGTGAGTGGGACAAGGTATTTTGTACATTAGACGTAGAGTAGACTTCGCTAAAATAGTCTGAAAAAGTCTCAGCTTTTGCCCGATCTGATTCAGCTAGTAAATCTGAATTTTCGTGTAACAGTAACGGGATGAATACCATCACTATGTTTCATTCGCCGTTTAACATACGAAAAACAATCGTTTCGGACATGTACGGCTGTCATATACAAACTGTCGTTCGTAAGTAGTACGGGATTCATCTGGAATTTTCGGTACTCACGCTTGGATGATACATGACCTGTCAACAAAAATAAGTCCCAAAAGTGTTTCCTACACTTTAACAGCTTCCAGGTTTCCTTATTAATCCATGGAGGGCAATGTGATAGCTTACGTATTGACCATGGGATAAACGGGGATGTTACGGACTCGAGTGAAGCCTTCAGTCAGTCAGTCAAGTCAGTCAGTCAGTAGCCTTAAACTTACTCCATTCATCTTCGATCGATCCATCCGCATCGAACGATCGAGATAGCACAGTCTCTGATTGCAGGAACATTAGCTCGCCAGATATTGGGACGAGATGGATCGGATATAAATTTTATACCACGTGTCCGAAACTCAAAGTACAACGTAATCACTGTTTTGTAGTGGGGCAAGATGCCGAATACCGATGAAATCCTCACACTGGTGTGTGAGGACAAGGTCCACCAGCGACGGGTCATGTTCCAAGTCAATATGTGTCGGTTTTGTGGTACATTGTACATGTGCACGCCGAATAACGGTTGATTAAAGGTCGCTATCAAAACCTCCACCTGTAGCTGTAAGCTTTATCCAGTTGATATGCGACATTAAGTAGAATCAGGTCAAATTCAACTTCAGCTAATAGAATTAGTGTATGGTTTCAAATGGATCTGGACGGAATAGAAGAAGCTTTTCGTTTAGTGTACTTCCGTATATATTTCTAGCGAATCAACAATGCTTCACGGTAGGAACATAGGTATATTGACGACAAAGGAGAAATAATTAGTAAATTATAGCGAGATACTGTTTTTAGTCCTTAAGAATACGTCACGCTTTCGCACAAACGACCACCCAAAAGTCGCTTGAACTAGCACAGCAATCAGAGAACTATAGCACTTGACTACTCTTAGTGAATAGAAGGTGTGTCAACAGTCCGTTCTGATATGTCTCCAGATTCTGGGTGTTACCCCTGAGGTTTGTGTTAGAACTAAACTTAAGTAGGCGTTTAGGGGAATAGTAAGGATGACGTATGTTATTAAAAGGTCACCTCAAAGACGCCAGCACTCTAATATGTTACGGTCCATTGATTGGAGGCGCTCTTCATAAAACTTGAATTTGAGTCCTCGAACTGATTTCGCGGCTCGCCGCTGGATACATTCCTGAGTATATTTATCATTTTGGAGTGAGGGGAAACACTATGCTTCCGCACTCTAAATGGGGACGAACAAAACTTTTGAAAATTATTTGAAAATTTCTTTCGTCAAACTAGCCGAAAATGCGCTTCAATGTTACCAGTGCAAGGTTTACTCGTAAAGCATTTGCGTCGCAGATAGCGTAAGACTTTAGATCGTGGGATACCAACACTCCCAGGACTTCTTCAACTTGGGATACCTCTAAGGAAGAGTTATCTAAGTTGAAGTTTTAGTCTGAAACATGTCTCAGACGGACTACATTAAGCTTTGAAGTGTTAATGGTAAGTCCGTTGTCCTCCGTCTAACTTTGAAGTCAGGTTAGATCCTCTCTGGTTAGCACTTAATCCGCTCGACTGAAGTATTCTCTCCAGAGTTTCACATCAACAAAAAATAATAAATCAGACGGTACCTGTTGCGAAAGACCGTTTATATAAATCTAGAAAAGAACAGGTCCTAGTACCGGACCCTGAATCACCCCACTAGGACATTCCATAGCTCGAGATAAAGTGAAGTTAACCCTGACCTTAAAATGTCGATTTTTTAGATATGAAGTGAGTGAATCAATTAATGTCGTTTGACACTTAATCGTCCGAGCCTGTTGATAAGACATATATGATTGACCCCACCAAAAGATTTTGAGAAGTCAAGTATGACTTCAACCTTCCCCTTGCAATCAGGGATAATTTATAGAATTGTGGCTTAACAAATGACAGAACATCATGCTAAGAGGCAAAGTTGAATCTGCTTCCCTCAGTACAGCAGAACGGGCCATATCAGGACCAAGATATGCGTCCTTGTTTTTGTACTGAAGTCTCCGATACATCAAGTCAGTGCTTAGTTTCACTTCTGAGAGTCCTTTTGACTTACCTTTGAATCTCTCATCAAAAAAGCTAGTATGGGTAGGTTGAAAAATTTAGGAGCACTGTTGTGCCAGAGGTTTGGGGACGTCACCATTGGTTGGGCCATTGGGACCTAGCAGTTGGGAAACTCTGATTCTACCTTGTCGAAGAGAGGCTGTATGACGGAATCAGCTTATCGCATTAGAGACAAATTTATCCATGAGCTTTATCTAGTACCGAAGCCTATCTTTTCTTATTGTCTTTGTGCATATGTTCCTTAATTGGTTGAAGTTTCTGTATGCACTGTTGTTACCGGTTCGTTTGTATTCCTCTAAGTGGTGCGTTTTGAGGCTTAGCAATCGAGGGCTGCGATTTCTCAACAATATAGGTTAGTTGCAGATTTTTGGGACCATTTGCGGAACATACTTATTTGTGACAGATAAGATAATGTGCGGTAAGAAACCCCAATGAGTGTCCTCGTCAGGTTGAGGGTCAGCTGCACAATCCACCTCGTATAGATTGTCCTTTTAGGTTGACATATCCAACCTTCTTTAATTCCAACGCCTGTTGTGTGTAAGATGTTTTAGCTCAGTCCGTCAGATAAAATTGAGGGCTTTGACGGCACGATCGCCTTGACTCAGGTGCGCCAATGATGAGAGGTTGTCAACTAGGAAGTCTTCCTTAGCAAACACTCAGTCTAGGCGTGATGTTGTCTGGCATTTTTTTCTAACGAGTTGCTGACTTTACATTTTCGAATAAATAAAGGTTTTCAGTTAAGATGAAGATTCGAGATTTATCTCAAATGTATGTATGTTCAGAGAAATGAACTTTATGAAGACTGAAGTCTCCTAGAATCAGGATATGAGTGTATCTGAGACGATTGAAGCGGAGTAATCTTTTCAGGATACAATTGTCAAACTTGGTGTTCGCAGTAAGCTTCTTTTAGATGACTCCAAATAGACGTCTCGGGGTGTTAGACAGTCTTGTTGATCACCATACAGACTCATCAAGTTTCACAAACCTTTGAGTGTACACTCGATTTGCTACTTGGCAAAATCGCAGGTACAAGGCTGGAATTAGTAATGATCCCTCCACTAAACAGCCCATAAGCATCTAGGTTTCATACGGTTAATAAATTGGTAGCAATGATTGTTGTGGAAAAATTGGTTATCCTTAACTTAAAAAGAAAACAGCCCCTGATCACTACCTGTCATCAGACAATTGCGGAGATATTTCCTTATCCTACGACCTCGACATCACGACCTGACAGCTGACTAGTTTGGTATGACAGTTTGTTAGAAAATCGGTTTGTTTTAAGCAAGGAAACGGAACCTCATGGTTGTGGTTGATTTCTCTAATAATGGTATCATCACACTTTTCAGACTCTAAGAATTTTGACGTATGCTTTCCTGCTTAAGAAAGTTTAACCGAATTTTCCAATAGTTTACTGACGATGTATTCAGAGGTCTTGACTTTTCGCGTGCATGATCATCTGATCACAAGTCAAAAAAGGAACTGATTCCTGACACACGGACCTTGATTTTCAACGACTTCATAGGCTGAGCAGTCATGAACGTTGCGACACTATAAATCGTAGACGAATCACTCAATATTCTCGGTCATGCGATTGATAATCGTGGTACTCGCGCTCCACCGAGTAAAGCGGATGCTTCTCTGGATTAAACAGACATGACGACGACCAGGCACCTACATACTTCCAACAGACTGGCAAGCTTTTGTTCTTATCGAACTTCATATTATTAATGGTATCACTAAAAAATTTAATTCGTGAACACACAAAAACCATCAAACTGTATGACGATGTTAAGGAAGCATCTTCTACAGTGAAAGACAATATTCTCATTTCATTTGAGTTTGCATACCGAGACACTAAAGCATTGACTATCATCGCCATTGACGCATTCAAGTTGACAACCGAAGTCTTACGAAATTAGATAAAAGAAACATCTCAATCCTTTGCATTCCTCTCGTAACAGTCATTAGACTCTGCGTTGAGACATGGTACTTATGACTAGAAGCTTAATGTCATATTCTATGCTGTACAGCACATTCAGAACTCCATGTTAGACCAAGCAATTACTCTGTTCATGAGTCATATATCGCTTACTTGTCTTCAGACAGATACTCTTCTTTAGAGACCCGACTACTGAACTACATCTCACGGTTTACTTCCGATATCAAGCATGCTTCTGAAACAAACAAAATAGTCGTATTCGCTTAGTTTTACAAGTTCCTTGAGCAGTTTCTAAGAGAACGATCTGCTCAACCTCTGAAAGAAAACGCCGATCCTTAGCACAAATTATCATCGATAAAGCAGAAACCACGAATGAAACCGATGTGGAAAGCTGACGGGACCGTGTTTTGCCGTATGTTTAATGTCATAATCGACACAATTAGTCTGAAACAATATCAAAGCTGGTTCTTCAATACATCATGCACAAAAGCATTCGAGAAACCATCAAGCTAATAGCGGAACAATTTAATTAGTCCTAGAAAATAGTGGAATGAGTGAGTCACATCTTATGGTCACCACTGCTTCACATAGGAGGGAGAGAGCTGTGGCGATGAATAGGTCCTAAGATTAATAGTCTTCAAGATTATTACTGATATAATGAATTCCACTTAACGAACCTAAAGCTGGAAGATCTAGACAAAGCACCACATCAAATTAGGATTAGATACACCGTACTACACATTCCTCGCAACAAATTGTTCGCTTACATCACATAATTCTTGTGACATTGTTTTCCAAATATATGGGTCTTAGCGTAAGAAATACGCTGAAAGTCGCTTCAAAGTGCATTCTGGACAGTGTTGTTATTTATTTCTTCTTCTACTCTGTCTTGTATTTCAGTTGTTACTCATATCTCATGCGACCATGTTTTATGTCATTCAGTCTTCTTCCTCTGGACCTTCATTGAATGATATGCATTAATTTTCGCTTTTGCCTGTTGCCGGACGATGAGCGATAATTTCGTGTTTGACTGAACTCAATGTTACGGGGTGAGTCCTCTGCTGAGTGTTTACAGTTAACTGTCTGATGGAAATGGTTACTTGAAAGTTTACAGATAAACATTTGATCCCATCTTGTGATATGCTTGTAGCTAAATGAGAAGCTTTCGACTAACGGTGAAATCGTCCTTCCAAACGGTTATACTACAGTTTGAAGGCTTTCAACTGGTGGCTTGTCGAGTAAAAAAGGTGAGGTCTACAGCAATGCCGGAGACTTTCAAATCTATTCGTTTTAAGGTTTTGTTTGTCAATACGGCACTCACTAGGGACGTCGTCTGAAAAGTCGCATTTATAAAGTTATTAAACTATTTATTTTTGAAGTGGAGTAAATTAGGAATGATGGTCAGGGAAGGGGTTGTTGACTCCGTCCCGTAGAGGATGATCTGGCTAAAACAACATTAACCAGAAATAGGCCTTTTAACTTTTGAACTCTCCTCTAGTAGTCAAACTGTCTTCATTTAAAAGATTTACGATGCAACACTTTGAGCTCGAGATTCCTCGAGAATCATGGGGCCGATGCCAATTCTGACGGCAAGATCAACAATAAATGTGGGTAAATAGAATGTTCGCATAATGTGGGGGAAAGGTAGGACTAAGCAAGTAGCTTGATATATGAATATATGCAATCTGGTTGCGCACGATAAAATTAAAACCGATGGAATGCAAGCTGGAGAGAAAGCATTAGTTTAGGAAATACTGCTGTCGTGTTCTGTTCATGAGGAACAAAACACCTCAAAAGCACGATCCTCAAATACAACACGGAGAACATCACTCTAGGTGCACTTGATGGAGAAGCTCTGGAAGATGTGGAATCTTCCACGTACCTGTGAAGCATCACCAATGAGGAAGTAGGATATGATGTTGATGTGAAGGCAGGGATTGGCAGAACAAGGGCAGTATTCCTACACTTGACAAACATATTAAACTCAAAATAACACTAAAGTTGGAATTTTCAATTTGAACATTGAAACATTCTTGTTCTACGGATCTGAAAGGCGGAGAATTTCGCAACCATTATCAAAAGTTTACAAACATTTACTAACAGTTTTCTATGCCATATACTCAGCGTCAATAGGCCGGATGTTATCGGCGACAATCCGCTGCCGTAGAAACCAAACCACTCTGCAGCTGGAGAGGAAATCAAAAGAAACTGGAGGTGGATATGACATACCGTGAAAATCATCGAGTTGAACCATAAGGCAAGCCTCAACTTAAAAGTCACAGAAACAAGGTATAAGAGGCAGACCCAAAACACGTTGCATCAGGAATAAGAGGCAGGCACTGTGAGAATGAATAGCAACTGGCGGCAGGAATGCCAAAGACAGAGTTTGATTGAGACAACTGGTCTGTCTCCTGTGCCACAAGAAGTATAACAAACGAATGTGGGGGATAAAACTACAATCTTTCCTTCATCTAATATTGATCTTCTACTACGACTAAAATATAAACCTAAACACACAAATAGGTCTTTAATCTGACGTCCTTTTTACTTGGTTAGCAATCATTCAAATTCAGCACTAGAACGCCATATGTTAATCAATCATGATAATAGCTTCAAAGAGATATTGAATTTATTCAGTATTCCCAGTTGTAAGGTGTAATACAATCTGCATGGACTACATACTGAAAAATGAAGGCCTTTCCTCCAAATAACCTTTAAGGCGCTGGAACCAAAATGTGTATTTTAGGTGATGGGTTAATGTGTGGGCTATGGGAACCAGTTTAATCTTCGAGATAAGATGGATCAAGATATATCATATTCAACCACCGTTGAACTTTCGATAGCCTGCAGGTGGGTAGGAAATCATGGGAACTTACGGAAATTTTAGAAATTTGTGCGACACTGGTGTTTTGTCGAAATCCGATCCACGTGTGTTTTTTTCACTCAGATTTAATATTTATTTTAGTTGTTGTTGTGTTTGAAAAGTCATTCCCTGATAATCAATGGGTTGAACTAGATAGGACGGAAATCATACATAACCATTTAAATCCTGATTTCGCTAAGAAGATTGTCATGGAATATCATTTTGAGGAGCAACAACGTTTAAATTTTGTTGTGTTAGTTACTGGGTCGCTGTTTTATTAAGATTTTAGGTATGATGTCGATTGGAAGTCAGATAAGTTAGAAAAACATGTAAGCACTTTCACACTCGTTTACTATCATAGGATTTTCTTGGCAATTGTGAGACAACTCTTGGTGAAATTGCGTCTTCTGGAAAGATAAGTAAACTCTTAAAGTAAGCTTCAGTTTTGCCTCCGTCATTTGTTAAGAAATGGTCCTTCGAGTGATTGTGGGTCAATTATTAGTAAGTGGCTCTTTAATTCTGATCAAAGTCATTTTTAGTTTCTGCAGAGGAAGTTTCTTCTTGTAAAGTAAGCTACTCTTTTCATCTTACTGGCTTTTGGAGGATGAATTGACACTTGACATTTCTGGGAGGATGCTAGATAAAAAAGACATATTTGGATCATCTGATCCTTTCCTCGCATTTTACAGGGTAAATGAAGACAGAAGGTAAGTGATAAATAAAGAACATGACAAACTTAACTCACTAGTTTCATTGAGCGAATCGTTCGAATATGCCTTTTTTTTAAGGAACTACTGAATTTTAAACGGATTCATTTATTCAGCGGTAACATTTTTGTAATACTGAAGTCTGGGCTTGTGTTTGTAAACGTTTAAGGCTATTTGTTAGAGGGAGTCATTATTTTGAGACGTGTTCTAGTAACTCCGAAACGTCTTGGGAGTTTCAGGTGGTCCATTGCAGAGCACTATTTACTACCACTCGTACTTTTGGTGATTTTTATTATCAACCATTTTATTATATAACACTGGGTTGAATAGTGGTTTTCTTAACTTTCAGTTTGCTCAGTGATCACTTTATCGGTAGTCTTAAAAGGTACATAACCATAACTTGAAACGTCCTCAGACAGTTTGGGCCTGAACTAAGTATTGGTCCAGCTGTAGTTTTGTTAAGAGTTCTATGCGCAATAGACTTGTCTTTTTTTCAAAATGGCTGCATTACTAATGAGCATTCATATTTAAACATCTTTTATTTACCATTATTGCATTTATTGTCATGAATCACCTTTTAGAATCGACTCGCAACTACGTGCTCAGCATTTAGGGGTAGACCAATGATGCGTCCTGACTACTTCACTTGTTGTAGTTGTCCGTCATAGAATGTTTTGTCCTTTCACACTTTAATTTGAAAGTTCATAGTCATCTAAGCTGCTGATTTCAACGTCTTGTTACCTAAGTTGGTTTCACATTTTACTTCGGTTTTTTTAGAGGGCTTGTCATGGTGTATCTCAGTTTGGTCTCATAATTTTATGTATCAGGTTGTGTTCCTGGGTTTTTATGTCTGTTTTGTTGGAGATCACTGATTCTCAAATGTTGGTAATTCGTAGTAATTTAAGGCGGATAAGTGACTGTATATATCATTATTTATTGTATTTACTGCATTGTACCGTCTACATGCTTATGCTATGTGATGGGAATCTAATTATTTTTTTTATTGGTTCTTGACTAATCGTATTGCGTTTAAAATGATTTTTTTGACTACCAAAAAGTCGAACAGTCGTTTATAGAACAAAAGTGATAAGAAACACATTGAATCCAAACTGGGAGCAGATGATTATACCATTAAGGCTTTTATGTAATGGAGATCATTACAGGTACGTTTTTTCTATTTGTTTTGTATTTGTTTACACTACAAATAATAGCTTTATGTCTCTTTCCATCTGATTCTGCAAACTTATGAAGATTATGTCTTTCTGTACCCTCTTCACTGGTACAGTTTAACATTTTAAACTGCATTAGTTTGAATGGTAGATGTAAATCTAGCATTTGTCGCTGCTGAGCAAAATCTAGAAGTGATACACATTTCCAACCATCAATTACCCTGACACTTAGTGCTGACCGGTATAGAAATGTGTTGGGGGAGAATCCACAGATTCCTAGTCCAAACCATGTTGGCAGGCGTGAATCACTCAGTTGGAGAGTAGTCAATACTCGTACTCAGTAATCAGAAACATCGAGTGTAAGACTATGTTAGAAATGTCGTAGTATAAAATTCTAACTATGGCTTCGATAAAGCAGCGCACATAAATGAATGCAGGTACACCCAGTTGACGAGTCCCAAATAAGACGGAACGTGCGTCCTGGATTCCACTGTTAGCCATCATCCATCTTTGTTTATCAATGAAAAAGGTTTAAATAAACTCACTGTGGGATTCTTTAGTTGTGTAGCTTTTATACAATGCCCTGGTCAGACCAAGAGTGAGGAGAGTCAGCTACCCCTCTTGAAATGCTCTCACATAACCACACGTATACAACCACTGCCAGATGAGTCCTACTCACTGCCCTAACGCGGCGGGGTGTTGTTTACGAAATCGATAGGACGAAAACCAAATGTTCGACACTTTTGCCGGGTCGGAAAACACGGAGAATCCCCCTAGAGGAGTTGGGAGACCCTGATTCCAAACCACTGTTACATATGGACTTCATTTCATGTCCATGAATACATATAAAGAGAGATCCGTTGCCGAATGTAATTAGAAATGGAATTTTTCGAAGACAATTTTAAAATTTATGTACACATATTTACCCAATACTTGGGTTTCAGCCACACCTAGTATGAGGGCTACTAATCGATCCACCTAAGCACCACTTTAGTTGTGACTAGATATAATTCCATTGATGAGGCAAACAGTTTGTTTCATAAAATGAATTCATCCGGAAAGATAAACCTGCAACAGTCCTTCAACGAAGTTACGCAATCTTAGTCTACTCTTTAATTTTTGCTTTGTCAGTTGTCTTGTATAATGATACAGTCGAATGTTTAAAATATGGCTATTTGTATACAAAATGATATAAATGTTAGGTAGTGGGATTCTGTCTGTAAGCAATCCTATGGTAACACTGAAGAATTACGAACTAACCAATAATTGTAAACACTTTAGATGGTATGCTTAATTATACACCTGTTTTTGTAAGTTTGGTTTCTTCGTCACTTCGGCTGGAAAACTCATTTCTTAGACTATCACTGCCATCTTTATTCTCGTTTCACCCAACAAATACAATAGATCATATATACAACGTAATGTAACTATCGGAAAAGCTTGCCCTCTTATTCTAATATTGAACTGTTTCAGAAATACTCATCTATTATGTGTTCAAATGTTATATAAACATTCAAATGAATCTAGACTACTTCAAATTGTACATAATTTTGCTTTCGACTTATGCAAATAATGCTTTGATTTATCTTCTTCTGACCAACGTTTACTTTGCGTTTACTTATTGTTTTTGTCACTTTTTAGACCCCTGGTCATTGCTTGCATTGACTGGAACAGGAGTGGAAGGTAAGCGAACCTATTTACTAACCATATATTAAGCTTCATGTAAATAACACTTTGATAGGACTGGGAATTATGTGTGGTCACGCGTAATGAGCATAGCGTAGCTATAAGATATAGATGTTTTGCTTATCATAGTTTCCACCCTCGATATGTTAAAAAATGGTTTTATATGCCTTGTATACTCAGTACATTAATATAATAATTTATGGCTCTTATTGCTATTTTATTTGTTTAGTCTTGGTTTATTTTACGAGTCTAATTTAATGAAAATAATATTAATTCATTTTAGAGAAAGTTTGATTGGCGAAATTACTACATCTGCTAATGAATTGTTAACTATGTTTAATAATGGGATATATTCACTTGATGTAAGTAATAATCTAGTTGACGGAAATATATTTTTATCAATTTACGTTTGCTAATATGAGATGGATGATAACAGGAATTTTTATGTTTTGTTTTTAAAGTTTGAATTTTCGTTACAATCTGGGTAATCAGACATCAGGAAGGTATTTATTTGTTCTTACTAGTTGTCAAGATGCTAATCTCAAATAAATTAGATCTAAATTTTCTTCGAATGTTGGAAATCAAGTGACTAGCGAAATCCTATAAATCTTTTTTAAATCTTGAAGTTGGCAATTTTCACTTGACAGTTATGTTTTTACCAGCCGAAGAGTACATTTCAACTAAGTGATGGACCCGAACAATCCCTGAAATCTCATATCAGTTTGATTCTCATGGCTCTAACACAAGTTAGTTGCGATAAAAAACACCAGAAACAAGACTGGAAAATAAAATAGAGGATGGATAACACCGTCATCTAAATGACTAGGATTTATGAGACTAAACACCGAAATTACAGTTTCCTAGTTATTTCATTTGGAACAACCCTTACGGAGGGAGAAGTGGAATCTTGGATGCAGGTCCTAATAACCAGATTTGCCAACTTCGTGGACAGAATTACCTGTTGTCGAATCGACATGAAGTTGCGAAAGTTTATGACGCCAATTTTAAGCGATGCATGAGGCTTCAGATATCAAATTCAATCCCAGCTTGCAAAAGTCAGCCATTCTTTTAAATAGACAACCGATCCAGTTTCGAGATCAGATGTTTATTTCTCCCTCACCTTTTTTGAGACACCCACCATATGAAGACAGTGAGCAAGGGATACGTTTGAAGGCTTTATTCATTCTTTATTCGTCATATGAGTTTAGTTTAAACTGAAGCTTACAAAATATCCAAAGCCGCTTTGCTGTCACTACACGAAAGAATTGTGATTATAAGATCTCCTGCATGGTTAGCTTTCCACTAAGTCACTACATTTCTTAAACTTAGATCCCTTTACTATTTTCGAAACAGGAAAAACGGAAAAAATCTACAGTCATACTTTGTATTTTAGTACATAACCGATGTATTTTACGAGATATGTTATTAAGTCTTCAGGCCATAACTGCTGAAATTTTAGTTACATGTAAGCAGTACCTGTTGAAGCACTAAGTGGTCGGGTTTGGTTTTACTTACATAGTCGTTGAATTCGGTTTTATCGTTTAAATCAAAGAATAATAATTATATCTACCTAAGTCGGTGTATTATATTTAAGGATATTCTGTTATATAAAGTTGAATAAGAATAAAACAAATCGAGGCTCTTTGTTATGACCTAAATGAATAATATTAATAACTGTAGGTCTTTTAAACAAATCATCAACGCTTACTGTACATATGGTAATCTGAACTCCAGATATGCCTCTCCTTTATTTGAGACAAGACTGAGTATTCATTTTCTAGTCTTAAACGCTGGTTCATCCAAAACATGTCACTTTTACCCAGATGCTCACTAGGACTGTTGGTTAGTAAAATTAAGGTAGATTTACGCTTCTAGGAAGCAGTAGTAATCTCTATTAGATTCTTCAACCTGGCCTTGTCCACTTTTGTCATTCTTAGTTCAAACCGTGTAAATCTTCCATTTAGTTACTGAATTTCTAAGCAGTCACCCATCCTCAAAAAATATATATGTAATAAGCCATTTTGTACCTCAGTTTCACTAAGTTACTTAGCATTGTTGAGAGAAGAAATTCTAAGGCTTGTAAACTTTTTCGAATAAGGATGTGAGTTATGTAGAAATTATTTGTATGTTGGTAGAGAGTTCATACATTTCGAAATAATTCCCGATTGTTTTAGTTACACATTAAAGGTTAATTATTCTTAATTCCTGAGCAAATTAATGAGTCAGATCTCATACATCTGATTCCAGTTAAAAGCCTTTATGTTTTGTTATAGAATAAACACAACTAAATCATATTGTTGAAACATGGATTTGTTTCAAATATACATTTGTTGGTTTAGTTCTTTCCTACCATTAATAATTTCAAATCGTAATTAGCTATTTACTAGGCTGTGAAATTACGTTAATTACCTCTTTCAATATTTAAAGGCAAGTTATAGTAAGAAGAAAAGGCCCACATACAGATACTGTATTAAGCCATATCGAAGCATCTATTAATTAAATATAAAGAGATAAATGATCCATCTATTCTTCCAAATTAAAAAGTCAAACAATGATAAATTAAAATTTGATTAAAGTGCTTCAATAAAATTACAATCTCTTCTTTTGTATGTGTTTAGATGATAAGTTAGTAAATCGCTTGTGGTCGTTGTATTTAGAAGTAGAATTATTCTCAATTGTTTTAATCATCTTGATCTGTTTTCTACCCATATTAAATATTTATTATTTATTATTATACCATGGGGGTTTTTCTCAGTTAAACTCGTAACATATTCCTTTAAATTTGCTTCATATTTTTTCATTAGCTTATTAATCCCAACAAAGCTAAAAGGCATAAACATTACCAGAATTCTGGAACTGTGAGTTTTGTATACTTTTATTTGTTTAGTGTACAAAATCCTGAAATGTTATATTGTTAATTGTAGTTCTTGATAAACACTGTAAACCTAGTATTCTAATTGATGATCTGAACAACTGGTTTCTTATTCACTTGACCAAACACAGTAGATTACGCGTTTCCAAATATTCCAAACTTTTCAATCCTAACGAGGTGTGAAAAAATGAAAATTACAATCCAAGCTTTTTTTCACAGGGTTCGATAATGTTGAACTAGTGGCTAATTTATTAGAACATTTTACGCACGATCGAGTTCTGATCTATATTCGATATTGGTACCCGATTAATATCACTAGCCTTCATTTATAAATGTATGACTCACAGTTGAATGCAGTTGTATGCGCTTTGTTATCGAGTTAAAGTAAGTTATTAACTGTCACTATCACTAAAAACTCATTTTAATAACAGGAGAAAGTATCGGTGACATGTTTCACACCTATGCTTCGGTTTGGGCACACGGACAGTATCACAGCCCTCACACATATCGAATGAGATTTATGTGGCGCATATGTATCTGGCGCCTCATTGTACCAATATCTATGTGTTAAAAATAAATAAATAAATAAATACGCTTGTGTCAACCAAATTAAATTTACTAGTTTTTGTGAGCCCATCAAAGTTATTAGTAATTATCATTCTAGATAGTTGATTTTTATTTTCCTGACGTATTGCTAAAAAAATTTCAATATGACAAATGCTACTACTGTTAATTTTAAAAATATAAGAACGTTGCAGAATAGCTGTCTGTTTACTGAAATTATCAAGAGATTTTAGCCCTCACCATCTTCAAGACTAACCGTTTTTCTGTACAATCCAAATGATGTTAAAATTTTTCCATAGAGCCGTAAAAGAAGGCCGATATTTTACCCGAAATCTATGGGTTGACAATCTCTTTTATGTAAACGTTCTATTAAAGATTTTCGAATCATTTTGAATTTATTTATAGGTTTCATTCCACTTAGAAATATTCAAACTAATCCACAATCTTGATCAAAACTGTGCTTAAAACTTTCGTAACTTTAGTTTGATTCTTTACCTGTCTCTAGATTATTAAACTCTTGTTCTCAGTATATTGTTTGAAAATAAGCAACACCTTTTAATGAGAAAAAAACATAATCTACAACGTACCACTGGTTTAATTCGTTGAACGATCAGAGTGCACGTACATACGATAAAAACAATGTCTTATCGATCAGTGTCTTAAAGACAAACGTCAACTAATCGTGGTTAGAAACAGCAGTGTAGTAGGCGAATTCTGATGTTATTAAGTAACCTATATTATCTGATACCTAAACTTAGCCATGGAGAGTCAGTTTAGCGTAATAAAACGTTATCTCTATGCTACTTAAAGTTAATCATTTGGTGGTGATATTTACTTCAATAAATTTTACGGAAGTAGATACATTACAAAAATGAGCCATAGAAATGCTCTGCTGATCAGCTTTTGACAAAACGTCCTAAAGAAAATCAACACTTGGCATTTTTACATCACTCGTACAGTGGAGAGCTGCAACCATTGGTTAGAATAGATGTAGAGATAAATGCGCTTGGAGACTGGTAAATGCACTGATATTTGTTCCGTTTCTTACGAGCAGATCAACAGTTCATATCAGATAGCTACAGTGTTACTAAACATTTTGAATTCAGTAAGCATTAAATGTATATCCGAGAAGTTATTATAATTTAATTGTTTTGAAATCATATCTTAAGGCACCATATTTATAAATATTATAACTGGTTTCTGTACCATTACAGTTGCGACTACATAGTAGATATTTATTGTCATGTTTGATTAGTATTTTCACTAAAGTTACCATTTGTTAATATAACTTTTTCTACTTTACTGATACTAGAAGACAATGGAAGCGTTCATTTTGATTGGAATTGTCTCGACTAATTTCAGTTTACATCAGTAGTGTATTTATTTTTATCTTATGAACGTAGGATATACTTAAATGCAACATCATTAAAATCCATGAATTCTATTCAGTAATTACTCTTCTTTATATTCTATAATTTTGTTCTGCATACTCTGAAATTATTTGAAACATTATACTACTCTTGTTTATATAATTCATGTCTAAAGAGTTCTCATTAGTGATTTGATTATCTTTACAACGTAATATTTATTTTTATTTCTCTATTGTTTTTCGACAGCTGCATTTGAATTTGGTCAGGATCGAAAAAGTATACAGCTTTCTGGAATATGTCCAAGGAGGGTATGGGTTATGAGTGTTCATTTCTTCCGAAATTAATTATTTTATAATGATAAATATTTATAAAATTCTCGACAATTAAACTTAAAATAGATTCAACGTTTCGCTTGGCAGTCTGGTCCGAACTTTTTCTAGGAAATATAATACAAAAATAAAATAAAATTTCTTCCTTAACGTCTGACACTACACTTGGAGCACGACTACTGTGAAACTCTGTTCAAATTTACACGAATGTTCTTATAATTAATTATTTCCGACTGTTAAATTCTGTATGTAATATCAAGTTTAGTTATTGGTCAGTGGTGAAGCTGGTTAAAATATCCGTCTTTTAATGTACCTTTATAATAAGATTTTTTCTGTCGTTTTAAAGAATAGAGGTCCGCTAACATCTTATATTCATTTAAACAATTGTTGTTTTTTTCATACGTCTCAACAAAGATTTACATCAGTTATTTCTTCAATCGGGAAAATTACGTTTACAATTTCACAAAGAAACTATTCATCCCTTTTTTTACCTTAGAAGGGTTTACTTCATTTAATGACCAGATTTTTTCTATCTTGCGAAAATTATTGTAGATGAAAATATACCAAGGTATGACAAAAGTATTGAAATACAATTGAAAAACTATATATATATATATATATGCTAAAATATATAAATGCTAAAATTATAGGGTCGTATTATCATGCCTACACAGTTCAAGGTTTATCCTAAAGGTCACAGAGTGTAATAAATTTATGGGTTTTGGATTTTATGATAGTTATTACAATAAAATCAGTAAGTTGTGGAAAAATGGCATACAAAATTTGATTTGTAGGGTTCTAAAACCTATAAAATATTTTGCTAGTAAATAATTCATGTATATTTCTAGACTTAATTCTTCCGTGATCAAAGAACTGAATACTTGCTCCTTCTAATTTCAACTTGCCTAATTCTTAGCACTCTAACATTCTGTTACCTAATTTCTAGTTTATCATCAGCATTTAATTTAATTGCATAACTTTATAATTATTTATATTGCATTCTGTGTTAATTTATCAATTAAATTAATCAAAAGCTGTTACGGGGATTAATATACCGAATAAAGTTTTCAATTTTTTTAAAATTTAGTACTGAACTAAGCTGCTGTATTGCAATAGATTTTACAGCAAGTAATGGTAGTCCACAAGTTCCCGGTACATTACATTACAGCACAGTTAATCAACCATCACAGTATGCGGTTGCTTTACAAGCTGTAGGAGAAATAATCAGTGATTACGATAGGTAAGTTATGTATATTCGAAGTTGTAGCTGCCTGTAAGTGGAAACATTGGCCTCTTTGTTGACTTATCTGGCTCAAAGAACCTAACCACATAGAACTACAACTTGTCATCGTGTATGCGTTTTAAACTACTATCTTTTCCTTTAACTAAATTTTTTAGACCGATTTTCCCTTAATGTCTATTAGGTTGTTTCAGTTAGTTACCATTTATTGTTTATGTTCTTGACACGCTATTGATCCAGTTAGATATGTATGTGAAATCAATGTCAATTTCTCGATTAAGAGGGGTAGAGAATGTAGATGACAACAATAAGCAGAGTTATAATTGTTGAAAACATTTCAAGTTTTGCATCGTAACTAATTTAAATAGTGCTACCAAAGGAAAAGCTTGTTGTACATAGTTTTCCTATCATTACAGGTTTTTAGAAATTCTAATTATGATTTTTAAAACTGTTATCAAAACCCAAGGGTAATTTCATTTCACCAATGTTATCAGTGACATAAAGACCACCTACCAACTCGTTACCAGTAGATGTTCTGTAGATAGACATTCTGTTACAACTAGAAGTAAATAAAATATCGCAATTTCCCTTCCTAATATCTTTTTAACAAATTCAAAAGTCGTTTGTAGGTTCATACAATATCCTCATATAATCTGATAAGTATTAATGGTACTGACTAAATATATTAATTTGAAGTAATTTTCTCATTCAACTGTTAACAGGGATAATGTACCTTTTGTTCTACATTTCAGGAATCAACCCCTCGCTTAGTTAATTTTCAGTGGACTATTAGTAAACACAACCAACTTCTACTAAATCACGTTAAAGATTTGGAGCCCCTTACATAACCTAAACATTCAAGATTGGTATTCTGATTGCTTGAATTAAAATGTTTTCTTTATGATCGATTGTTGCTAGATAAAGTAAAAAAGTTATGAAAAAGATCTGTTGATAATTGATCTAAACTATGCAAATCACTGTTAGCCCTCTAAATGTAGTCTAAAAGATAATGGTTGTAGAAGAATTATCTGTCGATATACTCAATCCAACTGCTTTAGCCTCCTCTGTCTTTATGACTACTGTTCCTCTTTTTCTCACTGGCGGGTTGATAGAATACTATTACAGTTATTCTTGAGTTATTTTTCTCTATCATTTTGTAGCTCTTCCGTTTTTTGTAAAATATTTATCAGCTATTAATGCTACGAAAGTGATGAATTCGAATTTTTCTGAATAGCTTTCCTTACAAATTGCACAAATTGATGCATCGTTTAAGCAAAGATTGATTGTCTAGTTGAAAAAAAAGTACTTTTGCAAATTAGTAATAACAATAGATTAATTTAATTAGATGAGCGAACTACTAAATTAGTTTATTTTATGACAATCTGTACTTTATTTTTTTCAGTGATAATCTATTTCCTTCATTCGGATTCGGTGCTTGTATTCCACCTGATAATAATGTGTCACATTGCTTTCCCCTGGTTAGTTGATTTTTTTTCCCTCGAAAGGATATTTATTTCATTTGATAATTATTTAGTAGTTTTTTTTGTTTATCCATTTTCACTATGACGGGATCACATATGTGTTGCAACAGTGAAGGGATATCCAGTGTGGTTATTCATGTAGTTTGTGTTAACGACTTTATTGTCTACTTGTTATTTATTCCATATTGTCATGACCAATGTATTAAATTATAGGCATGGGAATATTTATCTGCTACCAGTTCCGGAGGTATTTTCTACTGATTGCTTAAATTTCTGATATTTTTCGTCATTACGCATTCATACTTATGTGCATTTAGCTTATATAAAAGAAAACTTTGTGATTTTACAAGATTGCTTCTTTCACATATTCAAGGTAAAATCACGATTTTATAGTTTTTAATTTTAACACGTTACATTGGAAAATTCTCTCTCATTCTATCCATTGGAATTATAAAAGTAATAGTAATATCATATATATGTACTTATTCACCGTAAAGTTAACTTTTTTCTTGTTTAATAGGAGAATAAATTATGTACACAATTTTCTTATATTTATTGTCTTAAATAAATAATCTATCGCTGTGTTCCATTCACTTAAATTAAATTTTATTTGACCGTGCAAATTGATATTCACTTAATAACGAATTCATAGTATTTAATTCATTTCAGTGAACGGTTTAGTGTGAACATAGTGGGAATCTAATTTAACAGCTACTTATATATTATTATAAAATACATCTTTTATGTATTTATTTGGCAAATTGAATTCAAATGTTTAGTTTGAAAAATGTTATCAGTAATAATTAAATTATTAGTAACAACTAACTAAAAAGCTATACAATCGTACCACTTTAATAGAAACACCTAACAGAGTTTAAAATGATTCATAAATAAATGTTCACTTGAAGGATCTTCTTCAGTTATACCGTGGGTGTAAAATTTGGTGAATGGTTTAATGTACAGTGTAGGCTGATATAGAGGTAAATTATAACAAAAACTAGGAGAATTGTAATCTAGAGATTGTGTTGATCGATAAAGCTATGGAATTGTAATTTAAACTAGGTATGCAGGTGCAGAATTTCTATCCTAAATCGATGGGAATTGACTACTGCCGAAATTTAATCAATTTGTCAGCATAGAATACTGTTATCCAAGTACCATGAGAATCAATCACCTTTATTTACTTGTATACCACTGTATTGAATGATTATAGAAACCGGTTATTTCGGACACTATCTGTTAGATATAGTTACAAAAGAAAGGAATTCAAATATGACTTTGACTGTGTACTGATCAATATAAATTAACGTAAATTTTGAGTGATGTTAATTATGAACAGAGCAAGAACAGAAATTTAAGCAGAATAACGTAAGTTCATTTGATTTCGCTGGATTATCGTCAGCTGCTTACAACCTGTAGTACTTAAAAATCATAATTACAAAATGGTTCGAAATTACCTTGAATAATGAATTTAGTTCGAAGTTGTTGCTCATAAAAACTTGGGTTGTATGTATGATTTTTAAATATTACAGGTTGTCAACAGCTGATGTGAACCTGACGAATTAATGTGAATTCATATTATTCTGCTTTCCTCAATATGATAAAGAGAATCGCGTGCATAACTTTAATTAATCAAAATCTCAGTTGTTGACTCAAAGTTCCTAAGTTATATCAGTAGAGAAGTCATTTAACCAACAAATAAAATATACGCGTAGTTTAAAAAAGTTGATAATAAAACAAAAGAATATGAAGAAAAACTATTTAAGATGACTAATTAATCGTAAGATAGAGGTCTTTTCAAGTTAATAAGTAGCTGATAAATTTAAACCCTGATCAACAAATTTGTTTTTGTTATGTGTGTCAGGTGACAAGACGAACATATCACAAAGTCGTTCTTCATCAATTTGAAAATCAGTGTACATAACAGTTTTTCAACAAATCATATCACTAGAAATAGTATAATGTCTTGGAAATCTCATAACTTAGACTAGTTAAGAAAGCTACTTAATTGTGGACAAGAAGGGAAAAAATCCTACTTTATGTACATAAAATTTAAAAACTGGGAAGAACTATTTTAATTATCACAATCGATTCCCATTAGTTAAGCATCAAAATTTCGCAACGAATGATTTCTGAATATACGACTAATGAGTTGTATAAAATTTCGTCGATCACTTTATATTCTCTTAACTGAGGTCAAATAAATTCTCCATATTATATGACCTGACTCAGCTAACAATAAAAACTTAACACTTAGTTAATTTATCTAAATAGAGAAGAAGGTACACAATGTGAGCTGAGATACTTGTTTCTGATTGATAATTCTCCCTACTTATTAACCTTGTTTATTTTTAAGTTCATGAGGTCTTCAAAGTTGTGTTAGCGTAATCATTAATATTTACGTCTGTAAATCTATCCTGTATGCTTCATTGTATTGAATTTGCATATAGTATTGATCCGTTGCTTAGTTTTGGCTACTACTTTTTGAAGTATGTTATATGGCACTTAGATTCATTTTCAGACCATTAATGCATTAACTGTCATTTTAGCGTACATATGTTTGCGTTTTCTGAATGAAGAGTTATAAGTTGTGCTTGTTCCTTTGTATTTCAATAAATAATTACATATACATAGTAAATAATAAATCTGCTAAAATTAACTGATAAAAATGTCTATAAATTCCTAATTCCTTTCAATGTTTTTTTTAAAAAGTACAATCTAGTTTAGGTTATTATGTCCATTTTCCCTTACTGTAGTTTCCGTTCTGTTTTGCATTATTTATGTATATAACATGCTTTTAATTTCTGTATACTTTTTTATAATCTGGAGTACAAACGATACAAATTTAAAATGATGCACAGATATAAATATTATTTCATTCTATAGGTTTAGAGGGAGGGTATTGTATTAACGCCCCCAAATGCCCTGGTACGGCCGAGAGTGGGGAGAGTCCGCTCTCCCTCTCGAAATGCTCTCGCACGGCCAAGCGTATATAGCCTCTGCCAGGGAAGTCCTACTCACTGCCTTCTCGTGGCGGGGGTGTTGTTTACGAAAATGAGAGGACGAAAAGCGAATGTCCGGCGCTTTAACCGGATTCAAAACCAATGGTGCACATGGGCTCCAGTATCCTGCGGGAACAAATGGCGTATGAACCAATTGCTGGTCACCGGCTTCCATGGGACTGCATCTCCTTACGATGCTCCACTGCCTTGTGGATCAGACCATTAGGTCAAAGGCTCGGGGTGTGGCCCCCTAAGAAAACCACCTGCTTCGGTCTGGATACCCGGGCAGTATCATAGCCCTCACACATATCGAATAAGATTTGTGTGGCGCACATGTATTTGGTGCCTCTTTGTACCATTATCTATGTGTTGAAATAAAAAATAATTGTATTAACCCTCAAATATTATGATTTGGATTCATGCATCATGTAGATTTCCAGTGAATCTCAAATGTAAACTCTGTAATATTTTTCATCATAAAGCTCAGGAATATTTGCTTGTTTATTTATATATTTGAAATTCTATCTTTTATTTTGTTTACGTAAACATATATAATACATGCTTATTACTTATTTATTGTTTTATTTTTCATTTGTTACTAAACTGAAAAGTAATAGTTAAGTCTGTTTATGAACTCCCGCTTAATGACTATCATTACTACAGTTGTTCTTAATGCTAATGTTACTAACTTTTATCGATAAACGTTGTAAAAAGTTTCATCTTGTCTTTTTTTTCTCTTTTTTTTCAACATTTCATTATTTTGTCTTGCTTCAAATATTTCTCATTTTCTCTTCCCTCTTGTATCTGTATATGTACGTAGATAGATAGACAGATAAGTAAATTAATTAATGAAAAATGTTTTGGCTTCTATTACGCTCTGCCTCATATCTCATTTCTTCCTATCTCATATCCAATTCTTACTGTTGTTCTTAACAAGCAATTTCCATTGTGAATGATAGCGCGATTTCTGTCATGTGATCTGAAGTTTATTTAAATTATTTTTGTTGCCTATTCATTGTCTACGGTTTTTGACCTTAAAATCATGATGCTTTTTAAAATATTTTTTTCTAAATATATACACACATATATTGTTGGTTTGTGAAAAATCAAAAGCCAGTTTTTCTACAAAAACAAGAATTTGTTTTATGTGGTTGTAAAAATTTGAGTGTCGAATTTCTCCCCTTATGTAAACAAAAATAGGACTGTTAACTGTTCGATTAAGGCTTTAAGTAATGGTAACAGATTATCCATTTATTCCATAAGTTCTCGACTTCCTCGTACATCTGTTTTACCTTAATATAAAATGAGAACTTAGTGGTTTTTATTAATCTTGAAATTTAACATACCTAGTGTTCAGTCTTAAAAACCTTATTACTAATGCAAAATAGGCTAAATTGTAGTCAGTAATTCACAAAGTAATCCAAGAATCGTTGAACAACTTGAGTGAATATTATTTTAGATTTTATCCTCCTGAATGAACATACTAAATGATGACCTTATATTTGATTATTAAAGGATACAATACTATACTAAACTGAAAATGTTTCATCAAATTCTATCATCTAGAATACTTCAGGTTATATAAGTATTTACTTCTAGTAGAACTTTGCAGTATCATGTTACATCACGTGGTTCATTGTTTTCTTTTGTCAGAAATCTTTTATCTATATAGTAGCACTTTTGATAAACTTTTGATGCTTTTTAGTTATCATCTTTTCCTACTTCCATTGTCCTTTTCAACTAATCAATGATTTTTAACATATCATTTAAATTTTACGGGCTATTAATGGATATAAACAAAGTTCTATTTGTCATTGTGTGACGTCCAATGTTTTTCATTAAATTTTTTATCTTGGATAGCTAGTTTTTTCATCAAAAGATAAACAAATTTTAATGAGTTTCTGTCATCCATACTGGTTTACTTGATATTTTATTTTTATAGAATTTTTGAGAGTTTGATTGGTCAAAATGTTTGGTCACTGATCGATTACTAGTTACTTTTCCTAATATTGTTTTCGTGTATCCCCAAACAGGTAAACAAAATAACAGCCATATGATTATAGCGTTAATTCACTAAAGCTTTCTGATGATATTGTGAACTTTTGACTGGTAGGAATGTCGTTTCCTAACCACATATTTTCTGTGTTCTAGAGTAGTAATAGAAATTAAAATTCTCTGCAATCAAAAAACATAATCGTAAATGATAAAAATAATAAACTATTTTAACTGATTACTTAGTTTATCCTATCTTATATTATTTGATCTATATACTCGTTAAAAAATAGTTGTACTTCCAATTATGATTTTCTGTTATTTCAGTATATTTTTTACGCGTGTTTTATGCGTGAAAATAACTTTTAAGCAATTTTAAGCTAATTCTCAAACTCAATTTAATTACTATATATCAAGTAAATTAAAGTTATTAAGTTCATTTTCTCTCATTTAAGCCTCTATAGTATCACTAAATTTTTTTACTTCATTCCATCTTTTTTGTAGTTTTAGTCTATTATCTTTTTCAACCAATAATCTCTAACTCAGTTATCCTATATTATTAGTCTCGATCAGTCTGGTCAGTCATAATCTCTGTCTTTTTTGCGTAAGTACATTAATTGAGTAGAATCAACTATTTGTATATCACTTTATCAAATATGCAAATGATGTTTGTAGATTATTACAGGTTTAATTTAATGAGAAAGAGAATAATCTAACTAATTCTAATAGCTTGTTAGCCAGAAAAATTATTCAAATACTGTAATGTTCCTCACGTTAATCTTGTTACAAAGTCTCTATTTGCATTCCATCATTAAGTACATTTTAAGTACCATTTTTTCTAGGATATAAATCGAGAAGTTATTAATAATATTCATTGCAACCAGTTTAAGTGTGTGTAGCTCAAACATTTTGATTATTTCCCCCCTTATAACTATTTTACCAATGTGTTCAAGGCTACATGGCAGAAGTACGTTAGTTTATCAGTCTATTTAGTATAATCGTAGATTGGTTGAAGTTAGACATTAACACCGTTGGATACGGGCTTAATGGTCTAGAGCTTAAGCGTTTGTGCGCGAGACTGAAGGACCTGGGTTCGAGTCCTGCGTGCGGGATAGTGGATGAGTGTTTCTGAGGAGTCTCATGTTGGGAAGAAATGGCCGTGTAGTGCTTCCAGGTTTTCAATGGTGGTTTAACATTGATCAATTCATGAACCCAATAAAATTCGTCGGTATGCTAATTGTTTAGGAAAATTGTTTATTATATTTTAACATACTTTTGTATGTATAAATGGATAAAAACGTGTTTTTCCTGATTATTAACCAATGCACTGTACATGTGGATACCGATAAAATTTTCAGTGCATAGTTTTTTGTGTATGTATGTCAATTCGTTAAATGTTCTAAAACAATAAAACGTACCACCTTTTATTTTTATACGCTACTGCTAATTTTTCAATATTTACACCGTTATAACAATAATAATATAAAATATTTTCATGATTCTCCTTTATTGATTTTGAACAAATTATTATCTAACGTGTAGAATGGACACATGGATAATCCGTACTGTGAGGGTATTCAAGGTGCAATGGCTGCTTATGCCCATTCATTGAGAACAGTAAAGTTTCATGGGCCAACAAATTTTGCTCCAATCATTAACACAGTAGCTAGGTAAGAAGTTTGTTTAGATTTTATTATCAACGAGAGTGAATAAATAAAGTTTTTACAAAATATTAAATTTCATTATCAATAAATAACTAGTTCATTATAGTTGATAATACTCATAATCAGTTTAATCATTTTGTTATTATTTATCAAAAGCAATTACCGCTGAATTATAAAGCCCTTTAAAATCTCAATCCATGTAAAACTTAATAATATATTATGCCTTTTCTCAGTTCTTTCATTTTATCGTCTGTTGAAATCTTTAGATGTATAAATGTAGTTCATTAGTGAGTAAGCACATCAAGTTTGATTGCCTCTGTTCCCATTCGGAATGAGTTGATATTTTTTGGAAAAAATATTATATGAGCCGAATTTTATTTTACCTTACTAGTTACTTTGATACTGTATTCTATAATCTTACAGCTTCCTGGAGTCGTTCTCACCATATCAGCCTGCTTAGATTTTGTAACCCTAGTCAGCTACTCTCTTATCAAGTGAATACTAACTGTTTTGTTTTTTTAAATGTCTTTTGTGGACTTTTTATATCATCTTTTTTCCTTTCACTTCCCTTCATTGAACTAAATGAAAGAGGAGTAAGAGTCGTCTGATATTATTGATAGATAAGGTTTAGAGATATAATTACTACAGTTAGTGCTTTTGACGAATTTGAACAATTCGACAAGTAAACGAAGTTCATCAGAACTATGTGACTAGTTAAGATATCAAAAAACTCTTTTAGCAATTAAAGCCGCTGCACAGAACTGTAAGGTACTTGGGTATGAGTTCTACTCTAGTTTTTAAGGGCTATGACACTATCCAGTTGCTCAAATCGAAGGAGATGGAACAGCGTTAACCTGGGACGTAGAGGTTGAAGGTGGATTGCCTTAACCATTAAGCTGCTGCTTCAAGGATTATGGAATCGGTAAGTGCGTACTCATATAACTAAAACTTACTAATTTCATGGGACTTTAACTATGCGGACAACGAAATTTACTAATCTGAATAAACGGAAGCATTCTAGAAGATGATCAGAGAATCCATTTGCGCCACTATAGCTTAATCTTAATCCGTGTCACTCAACATCTCCAACCACTAATCATGGTTATCATGCAGAATCCATTCAGGTAGTCTGTACCTACCGCGCAGTCTAAATGTCAGTGATTTTATAGACTGATTGCGCCTGTTAGTTAGGATGTTCTCAGTCTCCTTGCGACCTGTTCCTTCACTAGCTTATATTCTAATTCGAGGTAGACACTGTTTGGATTTATGCAATAGGTCCGAATTCCTCTTCATCTATATTTAATCATCACGAATTAACGTTCTCAACAGAGTTTTTGAAGAACATAACTAACTTGGTAACTGATTCGTCTTATTCTGTGATTCATCACAATCGCATTAAGATGAAACCATAATGAATAGAACTCAGTGCATTAATGTCTTATATCAAGCATGGAAACCTTAAACCACTGAGTTTTAATCCAAAGGTGGAAAGTCGGTCAGTCAGTAACAGCGTAGAACTTCGTACGTACGTACATCAGTTCAAGTTGCCACACCACATTAGCACAGAGATGCAGTGGTCGATTCAAATCCCGTAGTGGTAGAAGTAATAAGAGTATAAGCAGTAATCGGGAAGATTAGGGTTTGGAGATGTTATTTAAAGAGTATAATACAGTGAAATAAATTTGGAAAGAAAAAAAAAGGGACATGAAGAATTCAGAAGATTAGAATTTGGGAGAACACAGAGAGTGGATGCACCTGCGCCATTGCAAACGATTTTGAGCCATGTCATTCAGGGTCTCTAACAATCGGTTGCTATCATCTCGTGGTCCCCAACCAAGTAGTCTACACCTACCAACATGACTCAGTCCACTTGTCAGTGACTTCATGGACTTGTGCCATAATTTGGTCTGACCAGCCCTAGCTTTCTTCCAACCTACTCCTATACCACTGAACATAGCACGTCGAGGCAGTCGGTCGTTGGGCATACGTAACACGTGTCCCAGCCATCCCAACTGATGAAGTTTCACTACTTCATCAATTGATTTGCCATCCTTACCTAGTACCCGTTTCCTAACAACTGTGTTACTTACTCGATGGTCCCAGGATATACGAGCAATGTTTCGAAGACACCTATAATCGAATATTAGTAACCTACGGATATCCTCTACTCTTACCGGCCACGTTTCACTGCCATAAAGTAGGACGGAACGAACTGCTGCGCAGTAAACACGTCCTTTGGTTGATAGACGGATATCTCGCCTACGACATAAATGACGCAAGTTGGCAAAAGCTAGTCGAGCCTTCTGTATCCGTACTGAGATTTCGTCACACACCAGACCACAAGGGCTGATGAGACTTCCAAGATAAGTGAAGCGGTCGACACACTCAAATACTTCACTCCCTATCACTAGTTCGGGTGTGGATGTAACCCAATCCTGAAGCAACATTTTGCATTTCGAGGGAGAGAATCGCATCCCGAACATGCTTGCATTGTTGCTTAGAGTGGTCAGAAGACTCTGCATTTTGTCAGCGTCTTCACCAAATAAAACTATGTCATCAGCATATTCTAAGTCAACAAGTGAACCTCCCGGTAAAAGTTCAACCCCTGGAAATTTAGATGAGGAGAGTGTTATCTCTAAAAGTACGTCGACCACAAAGTTGAACAAGAACGGGGTGAGTGGACAGCCCTGCCGAACACCACTTGAGGTAATCAATTCTGATGACAGTTCGCCATAAGCTCTCACTCTACCAGTTGTGTTCGAGTAGAGAGCCTTTATAAGGTTAATGTACTTCTTTGGTACTCCTTTCAGTGACAAACACTGCCATAGAACCTCACGATCAACAGAGTCGAATGCCGCCTTAAGGTCGAGAAATACTACCATTGTGGAGCGTCTGAATGTGTGTGTGTTCTAGAACCTGACGTAGTGTGAATATCTGATCTATACAACCACGTCCAGGTCGAAAACCGGCCTGGTTTTCTCTAATCTGCTCTTCATGAGCTTTGGTTAAGCGTCGAAGTATTATTGAAGCTAATGTTTTCGACACTGTTTGTCAAACTGATTCCTCTGTGATTGTCACAAGAGGACTTTTGTCCTTTCTTATAGACTGGCACAATCAGTGATTGAGACCAGTCAGATGGGATTACGTCCAGTTCCCAAATTCTACCTAAGACCTCGGTTAATCTCATTGCTAATACTGGACCACCATCCTTAAAAATCTCAGGAGTAAACCTGTCAGGGCCTGCTGCTCTCCCTCGTTTCAGATTTCCTATGGCTTTTTCAACTTCGTAAAAAGTCGGAGGACCTACATTAACTTGCCATTCAGGTTGACTAGAGATCGTGGGAAACCGAAGTGTGGCTGAAGGCCAGTTGAACTGATCCCTAAAGTGTTCTGCCCATCGATCCAATCTCCTGGATTGAGAATGAATAATATGTCCATCTTTCTCTGAGATTGTTTCGCTAACGGTCGGGTTCCTAATTCCGATTTCCTTAACGAGTCTGAACAATTGTCTGCTATTACCTATTGCCGCTGCCTTTTCCATCTCTCTTGCTTTTGCTACCCACCACTGTTCGCGATCATTGTGTAGACTTCTTGTCCACTTGCGCTTAAGCTGACTCCGCTCTTCATTATGTTCAGAGCCAGGTGGAATGAGTTTCCGAGCATCTATCAGTGAGATAGATGCTGCTGAGATCCAGTGTTGCTCCCTAACCTTACGGGTTACCTTACTAGCAGATATCACTGCTGTTTCCACAACTTTTCGGATATCATTCCATGCTGCCTCAGGGTGGACATCACATACATGGCTGCCTAACTGTTTTCCTAGTTGTTCCTGAAATATACTCTTAGCTTGACTATCATTAAGTAGGCCCCTAAGAGGTTTCCTTGCAGCGTCTTTCCTACGTCCAGTAAGACGCAAGCAAATACGCGCTCGCACTAGAGCATGATCTGAATCTAGGCATGTGCTCCAGAATGAGCGACAGTCTTCTATCGAGCCCCTCCATCGGTGGCTGATAGCGATGTGATCTATTTGGGTCCAACGTTGGGACGAATTAGGGGGTCGCCATGTTAAAAGACGTTTTTCCTCATGCTTAAAGTTAGTATTTGCAAGGAACAGGCGGTTATCCGAGCATAGCTGCAACAGACGGTCGCCATTATCTGTTCTTTGAGCCACGACACCATAAGATCCACCCAGGTGTCTTTCCCTATCGCTTAGTTTACCTACTTGAGCATTAAAGTCACCGGCCACTATTACTACATCAGAGCGCCTAGCTTTTCGGAGAAGGTCCGAAAGCTTTCTGTAAAACTCATCTTTTACATCATCTGAGCTGCAGTCAGTGGGAGAATAGGCAGAGACGAAGAAGAGGCAACGACGAGTGTCCCTATCTTTCTGGATTCTTACTGTTCCGTTCAGTCGGACAGCGCACAAACGACTTTCTACTGGGATCCACTCTAAGAGAGCTAGTTCTGCTCTAGGACTCAATGTTATACCTACGCCGGCAAGGCCACGGGAAGCAGAATCAGGGCTTCCAGATACACGAAGCGTAAATCGAGTTGGTTCTTTATTTTGGCATGGTGAGGTCAAATGAATGACGCTACTTGGATCCTGTATGCGCGTTTCGGAGACGCAGCACACATCGATGGCGCGAGATTCTAAAGTTTTAGCTAAGGAAGCCTGCTGTCCTATTTGGCACAGTGTTCGTACGTTAAAAGCTCCTACGCGTAGTTTAGAGCGTGGTTTCAGGAGACCAGGAATAGCGTTCCACGTACTCGAATCGTTTGCCCTAGCGGTGCGAGATGATAAAGAGACGTGAGGAGGGTTAGTCATGGAGATAAGAGAGGTATTAGGAGGTGTAGGAAGGATTTGAATGTGACCAACTTGGTCTCGTGTGCTGTTACGGGTATGAGGGTTGATGTCACTTTCCGGCTGCCCACACCGTGGAGGGGTATTTCTTGATGAACCTGAAAAGGAAATTGGATTAGTGTTGGTCTTGACGACCTGGGAGCGTGACCACAGTGCCCAAGGGACAGCTGCTTGAGGCCGGTCGCGCACGGCCTTTTTGTGGAAGGTTTTTGACGTGTTAGCTCCGTTCTTCAAAGGGCCTTACCGCCGGAGAAGGAAATCCGTGAGGTAAGGTGAGGTGTGACATTTTTAGGGTCGACCTTTTCTAACCCCACCCCTCCTTGTGGGAAGGCAGCATCGCTGTCATGCTGGTTGTCCAAGGGGAACACCTTACTGCTGTCACACCTCTCTACAGTCAGCAGTACAACTTCGCCGTTAGACCTTGAGTTGCTGCTTTTAGTCTTACCGTTCACCAATCGACCTGCCTTGCATGGTAGAACCTACAGGAACATATGTTCCAGCTAATATAGCTCGGTTGGGCCATCACGATAGGCAAGCCCGACCACCGCGTCAAGGTAGCAGCTCCGGTCGGGAAAGCCACAATTTATCATATGGCGCGATATTCATTTAGCGTCATCTGTGAGTTTAAATCTGAATATTGATTTAACTATTTTAACACATCACCACTTCCAACTCTGAACTTATTAGAAGTTAAGTAAAAGCTTTGTCTGTCTACACAAATATAATGTATTTATGGGAATTGTGCTGCATAAAATAAAAGGTTATTTGTTATTCCAGTCTTACAATTATTCAGCGGAATCCCAAACTGGAACAATTATGAAGTTAGATCTTTCAAAGCTTATCTTAAAAGCGTCGAAAGCATCAGTATCTCATCTATAAACTGTGAAAGGAGTGTCTACTGAAGTTAAATGCATTTGTGATTGTTTCTTACTGGGGGAGGGGGAGGGCTGAAGTTAAGGTTATTACTACGCAATCGGAATCTCCATTTTGTATAACCGTTTTACGTAATGATTAAAAATCATATGGCTCATGAGATTTTCCATTTTGAATTAATAATTTATATATCTTTGTTGGTGGTCATCACTGAAATCAGAGTATGCCAAAATTTCTCTAACTTTTCAGCACTGATGATTTTACGCTGTATATCACAAAATACTTACAGTGAAAATATCACACATAATAAATTATTAATAAAAAAGCTGGCGTTTTCACAGTATGCTTTATGAGAAAAACATAAAATCACTAAATAAACCGAATGTTACTATTGTGTTTGATAACTGATTCCGCTGATAACATCGTACCTTATCGAAGTTGTATTTGCTTTTTTGTACGTTGTTATTTTAATTTAGGAAATCTTTTTTTTAATTGCTTGTTTTCTTCAATAAAAGTATTGCTCGTCAGTCTGTCGATGGTTCTCAATACTCCATTTTACTGATTCTCACTGATGGGATCATATCAGATTTGCCTCAAACAAAGGCTGCTATAGTAAATGTAAGTCTATAAATTTTATTTCTGTTTAATTTCTCATTTATTTGTAAGCATATTTCTTTTTTTGGTCTTACACTAAATATAAATCGAACTGTATCATCACTTATTTTCATTGAATTTCATCATATAAATAAATTCAACATATCATATCATTATAATTTGATTTTGATCAATTTTCTATCTGCTTAAATAATAGTTGTTTCCGGACATTTAGATGTTTCACTTCAATTCATTATTATTAGGTTGATTGATGGATATGTAAGTAATCAACTGATTTATACTATAGATAATCTTTAAGGGAGGAACATGTTAATTTTTGCCATTCAGGATGACTAGTTTGCATATATCAATCGTTTGCTAACAGTTGACTTAAACTTAATTAATCTATTTCTTGATCTAGGCATTATTTTAAAGTGCATACATTTCGATGACAATGTTTTTTATATTAAAGACTTATCAAAACTTGATAATCGGTTATAATATTTTGTTTATTATTAACTGAATTTAGACTAATCATATTATATTTAGGGTTACAACCTTTTATTGACATACAACATGTTAAAATGCTTCTGATGATATACAAGTTACTTTGTTCCAATTCTGTCAGTTTTTAGCTTTATTCTACACTATTCTAGTGTTCATGTTCTCACTATAGATACAATATAAAAAAACTTCATAGAAGTTATTCTGTAAAAATTTTTCTTTGTATTTCATAATGAAGAAGGAATAAGATTTGTTTTTTAGGCGGATACAAACCGAAACAGTTAAATGAATGTCATACACATAATTTCTTTTTTCGTCTTGAGAGAAACAGGAACAAACAATTAAACAGAATAACATGAAAATATTTTATTTCACCAGATTCCCATTAGCTTTTTACAATCTGTAACAATTAATAATCAAAATTATGATGTAGGTTGAAAATACTGACATGGATGAATTTGATTAAAGTTTAGTTAAATATATCTGGATTAAGTTATTGAACATGCTGTTTTATACAGGATTGATAGTTTGGTTGCAGATTAGGTTTCAGCTAATGAAGTGTCAAGCCTCTTATCCCCACAACATCGCCTCTGATGTTAAGATGGATAAGGGTGAGGTTTCTTATTAAATGTGGTTATATTTAACTTGTTATCTTTAGGATTTTTCTTGGTCATCAAACAATTTTTGTTGGTTGCAGTTGTCTCTTAGGCACTTTTTAACGTCCGTTGTTCCTTCCAGTTCGCCAATTGTTTCTTGTAAATGATTGAATAAGAACACAGAATTCGAGTATAACCCAGTAAAAGTATTTTTTTGAAAAACCGGACGTTAATATTTCCCGATTACTCTATGTATAACTATAGCAAAAGTTTTGGATTTGCCACTCTTTCTATGGCTTGAGGGGGCGAAATTAGCTTAGCGTTTTAAGCAAAATCACACAATGGGCTTGTAAAATACGAAAACCATACATACATTTCTTTAGTTGTCCTTCACATACTCCATCAGTCTTACAATCCTGTTGCTATTCCGATTGTCCTCTGTTTTTCCTTCTCTTCTCTCAATTTCCATTTTCTGTTGGTAAATATTCCACTTCCAATTCCTACAATATACTACTTATATCTGTCTGCATAGCTGGTGCACATACGTGTTGCGTTGTAAATCGCATGTTATGATGCACGTTGTTGGAGAGTTCTATCAGATGGATCACATTCTGTTTGCTATTGCAAATAGTAAACCAGCTATCAAAATGGCTGATTTACTCTGTTATTTCGTTAATCATTTGTTTAAGTTCTGTGCCTTCAAGATAACTCATAAATATATTTACCAAAACAGAACTTAATGGACTTATGAATCTTGCTCACTCAGTGTCTGAATTTTCTGTTCCATGTAACTAACAAGTTATATCGAAATACTTTTTGAACCATGAATCGTATAAAATCCCTTATTTAGTATTTATAAATTAGACAAGTTACATCAGTCCTTATAAAGTTACAAAACATTTGTTTTTACACACTGCGAACATACCTTATATTATACATTGAGTCAAATACAGTACTAAGTGTTTTCGTCAGCTTTAACATTGTCAATGTCAATCATTTTCTAATTCTAGGAATCTATATTAAAGTGAATTACGAGATGGATTTACATCGATTTTGTAATTAGATTATATGATTATGCACATATTGCATACTGATAGTCTTAGGTTGTTTTTCGATGTCGATAGTTGCCAGTTGTATTATTCCATTAGTTTTGATATACTTATTCTAATAACTTTAATATATCTTGTATCCTGAGAAAATAATGAATTAGTTCAAGTTGATTTTTTAATCAACTGTTTATAATGTATGTTGTTATTCCGATGAGAAACATGGTAATATTTGATGATGGTTGCCAGCATGGGTATCAGAAGCTACAGTTGTGTCAATTTCAGAAAGTAGGAACCGATATCAAACTAAGTGTCAACATTTCAACTGTTTTCAAATGGCTAGAGTTAATAAGAAAGACGAGTAGTTCATGAAGCGAAATCGGGTGGTAGTTTTTGATACTAGATGGTGAAGAGTGTGTCGATTTCCTTAAAAGTGAATTTCGTAAAGAATCTCCAGTAGTTCATGAAATATATGTCTTTCACTGTATTATTTCGAAAATGATATAATTTTCATGATTACACCATTCGGTTCACAAAACTTGACTCAGAAATGGTGTTATCGTGCACAAGACTTTTTCTTTAACTATTCAGTTTCCTGTTTTCTGCATACTTGGGTGTTTTATCTGCCGTTTTTCATTTCACGAATTAATTCAAATTTTATTATCATATATCGATACAAGAACAGAAAATAACAAGTATGAGGAGATAATAAACTTATCGCGATATAAGACTGAGGTTAGCAAATAAATTAGTAAATATAATAACAGGATGTTCAAGATAAATAGTGAGAAGAACAAGGTTATTTTATTCAATCTTGTGGTAGAGTATCTATACTCTATAAGCAACTGATTTTTAACATCTTGAGAAACAAATAATCTTACTTGTACAGCTTAGTCAAACAGTCTATTACTATGTGGACGGTTTCTGGAAGCTTTTCTTGTCCTGATCATGCCTCTGTCATTTTTTCCACTTCTCATATTCAACAATACATCAAGATGTTTAAATCCAATAAAGTTATTATTTACAAACTTCCAGTGTTTTAGTGGAAATTCAGAGTGCTTTATCAGCTTTTAATTTATTTAACTTCTAGAATAAGTTGATTTTCATTCTAGAATAAGAGGAAGACAACTCAAGTATCTTTCTTATTTTTTACCTGTATCTGGTCTAAATTTAATTGCTTAATGGAGCAATATTTCGAACATCATTTACATGTTGTGTACCTCATACAAGACCATTCGGTAATATTTTTATTAAAATTAGATCAATCACTTATTACTTGAAGTTAGAAATAAAAAGAATTCGTCTTTAACTAAGAGATATATAGGTAAAGTATTTTTTCAATGGCCTAAAATTCATGAGTTTGATCCCTGTCTGGGTCAAGGATGCATACTGTTATGGAGTCCAAAACTAGGAAGAAACAACTGTCAAGTACTCCTCGTTTTCCAAAGGTTTTCTGTAACGTAAACTCTGCAAACTGAACATTATCCACGAACATTCTGTCCATTCTTCGTCAAATGGAATCATTGTTATGATCTTTCTTGTTTTCAGTCCCTTTAAAACCTTTTGTTCCTGTTTGATGAATGAGAATAGTTTATCTTTTGTCGAAGCAGGTGTACAATCACTTGTCATATTTCTTTCTGAGTTTTTTTTCATTTCTAATGTTTTGAGTGTCAAATTTAGAGTTGCGAAAAATTTCGGTTTCTAATCTCCCGTATTTCAATTCAATTCTTTTGGAAATAAACGTTCTGCCTTGGTCGAGATTTGTTTGTTTTGATAAGTGTACTTCACAATCATTTGTTTCTGCTTCATTCAGTGGGTTGGATATTTTGACTAATTTTTCTCTGAGTCTCTTTACTGTCGTCGATGTCATTTGCTTGATTTTTCGTTTTTAAAGTTAGTTATTATCATTATTTTTTGATCCCAGTTTTTATTCCGTACTAGTTCGGCTCAAAAGTTAAAAATATTGAGCATCAAAATAAACTTGGAAAACTTGCTGTATTGACTATTGTTAATTGAATTCATTTAATTAAAGTCATTTGAACAAGTTTGCAATGAAACTGGAAAATCGACTGAAATGAAATAGTGTCAATTAAGAAATCCTCTCGGCGATTATAAGCCACTATTATTATTTTTGTGTTTTTATATGGGTTATACAGAGGTTCGGTCAGACTTCATTTATACGAAAAATTAAACAAAGCTTAACCATTTTAAGGAAAAATAACCAGCAAACAAATCCGTAAGATAAATGAATATTCATCAAATACTTTTAAAGCATTGAAACAAATTAAATAGACAGTTTCATCCATTTTTCTCTTTGTTTTACTTCACTTTTCTTGTAAGCCTTCTGCATATAAACAGAAACGAAAATAGGTACAAATGCGAGTTTAGACATAGTCCGTTTCATCAGTTGTATGATAGTACAAATAGTACATATAAATTGAATATATTGATGATAAGTTTTCATTTCCTGTAATAGTACAATTAATGGGGTGTTGAGTTTTCTTTTCATTTACTCCGAATGTCTACTTAGAATCTTCTTTTATATTAATAACATTGTGAAGTGTACCCAAATGTATCGAGTCACTTTCTTTCATTATAAATAAATATTTTTTTCCATTTGGTTTCATATCGATTACGTCTCATCAGTTGTGTTGTTTTTTTTCTCTGAGGACTTACAAAACATAGACATTAGGATTAGGAGTTTTGAATGTTCTACATGGTAGCTCGTTTTGTCTGAATAGAAGGTAACAAATACTTACGAATAAATTAAAGTAATTTTCGAGTTTCGTTACGAAAGTTTGTAGTTAATTTCACCTTTTAATTTTCTTCACACATGTCATTTTATATTTCGATAAAAATATAATTATAAGCAAAGATGGATAGTGGCTAGCAGTGGAATCCAGGACGCGCGTTTCGTCCTGTTTGGGACTCGTCAGCTGGATGTACCTGCATCTCAGAGTTGATGTTCACTCTGGGACTCGAACTCAGTACCGTTCGCTTCAAACGCCATCGCGTTATCCACTTAGCTACTGAGTCCTGGTAGCCAGTTGCTTGTGCAATGGGGTGAAGTTTAATTCACTTGGTATTGTTTTACTTGAATCTTCCAATTGATTTTTTAGGACTGAAATTGATCAGTTGGTACTGAGTTCGAGTCCCAGAGTGAACGTCAACTCTGAGATGCAGGTACATCCAGCTGACGAGTCCCAAACAGGACGAAACGCGCGTCCTGGATTCCACTGCTAGCCACTATCCATCTTTGCTTATAATGCTTGTAAATTAAGGCAATATCGAGGTATACGCACATATGCCAATGAGAGACTGATCAATTTTAGTCCTAAAACATCAATGGGAAGATTCAAGTAAAACAATAACAAGTGAATAAATATAATTGTTTCTTTTTTCTTTAAAATTCAATCGAAACTTATAGTTTAGTCTTAAGTAACTGTTTACTTAGATTCCTTTTACATAAAATTTTTTTCTTAATCTGTAACTGTAATTTCATCACAGACTTCAGTAAATATTGATGGCCTTTAAATGGAATTACTGAATATACAATCCTTTGAAGCCAAAATTGATAATAGGGCGTTGGGGATTTAACACTTTCATGCAATTGTTCATCAATCATTGTGTTTCATTCCAAGCAGTATATCTCAACTGCAAAAGTTTCATCATAATCCACTTAATTCAGTTGACTAAACGTGTTTAAAGTCACGAGTTGCAAAATGTACTCAGGTAGAATGTTTTTCTGTTATCTTTCGAAGTAAATAAAATTATTTCTATCCTACAAAATAGAGGTTGAGAACATTATACATACACAGTATATGTATATGCTCATATAACATAAACATTTTCAGTAATATTATTAATCAAAGCTAGAAAGTAGTATTCTTACTAAAACTTATTAGGGTTGTACACTTAAGTAAGAAAAATATTATTTTGTGTATTTTTAGAGTAAGATTCTTAATTTAGGTTGTAAGTAGTAGTTACCGTCGCGTTTCTCCAAGTCATTTAGCGAATGTCTACTTTTTTTGCGTAAACTTCAAAGTAGCAACTGTATTAGTATTTATCAATATTTGAATGGTTTGGAAAAATTGATTATTTCAACACGAATGTGGATAAAGAAATACCGATAATATTTGGCTGTTCCTATTTTGAATCCTTATGTAAAAATTTTCCTAACATTGTTCTTGAGATCTTTATTACAGCTGTATATATGTGCGTCTATATACATCTTTATCATCTTTTTGACAATTTTATTGATACGTTTGGCGTTTTTAATTCAAACATCAACTGTTGTATGAGTAAATCAATGTGACCTGAAATAAAATTATATGACTTCACTATTCATTTTTTCTGTAAATACATAGATTTAGGTCAAAACCTCAAGTTGTATGTCCCTTAATCCTCATAAATAAATTAGGGCAGCCTTTTTATAAAGTGGAAATAGTTTTTATTCCTGCTCAGTTAGTAAACTCAATGAAACTGATTCTTTATTTATGCATATTCAATTATTATTATCGATTATGTATCGTAGAAACGAGATTACGATTCGTGAGCCTTAAGGATCAAAATATAGTCAACGTATGCTCATTTTTATATGATATCATTTTATTGCTTTGTTGTAAAATAATAGTAAGTTCGTCAGTATTACTAAAACTTGTTAACTGCATTTATTGGTCTATATGATGAACTAGGCTATATAATAACGATAATAATAATAATAATAATAATAATAATAATAATAATAATAATAATAATAATAATAATAAAGTATAAACTGTAAAAATGATCTGTTTTTCAGTAGTGAATAGTTTTCACTATGTATTTTCTAATATTAATAGGCGTCCAGTTTACCTTTAAGTATCATTATTGTTGGCGTCGGTCCTGCGAATTTCGATGAAATGGAAGAACTTGATGGTGATGAAGTAAGACTAAGTTCTCGTGGAAAAACGGCGATTCGTGATATTGTTCAGGTACGTTTATGATTCATATTTATTTCCTTTCTATTCTTTGTGTTATTTATAAATCTATTAATTCGGTGACACTATTCAGTTATTTCTTAGAAGAATTGTATTCAGTTCATTCAGACTCCATAATATTATCACAGTATAGTGTTGATTTATGGTCATATATTCTTTTTATCTCACATTATTTACATCAGATGCATGGGCTGTTACTCATTTGTGTGATGAAATTTTGTTTACTGATATCAAGGTTATTTGTGAAAATTTATCTCATGCAAGCACATTGGAATTGAGTTTAAACTGATACAATAAATCTTTCTGAATCATCTCATTCACTTGTAGAGTGGATTAAATTTAAAAGCATTGATATCCTTATCGAATAGCTCTACCCACACATGTTAGTAGAGGCGGATATAGCATTTAGGTTACAAAATGCGGTTTTTTTAGTTAATTCAACCCATATGCCAGGTACTGATTCGTGTACTCTTTTTCAAATCACATCCTAAGCGCAATAACTACTAACAAGTTGGCTAAACCAAATTATCAGATGGTTCGGAACTTGCAACTTTTTGACTAAAATTCGGACGATTTACCCACTAAGTCACCACGACCACAAAGGATATGTTTCTTAAACCTTTAGTCTTAGCCACTGTAATTTCACAATCAGAAAGTCCTGTTGGTATCTGGAAATGAAGGTTACACCAAGTAAATACAACGACGGATGCAATTTTATTACCATTCAATGTTGATAGTAACATGAACAATTAAGTTATCTTGTGATATCACCAATAAAAGTAGTATCTTTTTAATAAGATGTCTTTAAGAAACGAATATTTGAAAATGTTCATGTCATTAGATTTCCAACCTGTTTATGAAAACTAGTTAATATGTAATGTCCTGGTCAGTTTCTCAGTTCTAAATTAAAGAATAAGATTAGTTAACTTAACGTTGTTATTTCAATATCCCTTGGTTCTCGAAACTGTGTTTAGTATCTTAACTCTCTTTCAATAAGTTTCTTCGTAGCTTGTGAACTACAAACTAAAGTCATTTTGAATGCCTAGTTCTAAATATAGCAGTCTTACAAAAAGCTCATAATACTGATTTGTACATTCTTTGAGGTGATCATGTATGTTGATTTTAGGTTGACTGCCACTTACTCATCCAACAGACATTTTTATGATTTGTTTAGATCAGTTTTCTGTTTACAACGTTTTCAATGATGTTTTTCTTGTAAATCATCAGGATTTTCCTCCTGTTTCATTTAATTGTTCCATACTATTGTATAGTGTAACAACTTGATCATCTGACCACATTATTCTGATTTCCTTTTTAAATTTAAGAAACTCTACTTCAACAAAATAGAATTTCACTTTTTTTTACTTTCTTTCAGTTTGTTCCTTTTCGCAATTTCCACCAGTTGAATAATGTTCAAGAGAGTAAAAGACGTTTAACTAAAGCTGTTCTCTCAGAAATCCCAGATCAATTGGTATCTTATATGCGAATGCAAGGAATTAAACCGTTGAATACACAAAATAATGATTTTAAGATAGGAACACATTCAGAATTCAGGGATTCAAGTTGTAAAATGTATCATTCAGATAAATTGCCTCACGTTCCACCTTATCCTACTGATATTGCTAATCCACCTTATCCAAATTGTTAATAAAATTAATCTAGTATAAATGTGTGAAACAATATAAAGCAATTTATTTGAATATATAAAGCATGACTTTAAACTAAAATGAATGTTTTTTTGTATATTTGAACTTCTACCTTTCATACTATGTTAAAACATTCATAACTTTTTAATTTTTTTCCGGCTGATGATAATCATGGTCGCAATGTTTGCATTCTATGTGATTTGCAAGATTAATAAGTATTAACACATTTATGTTAATCATAATGCTTAATATCTGCAAGCAGAATTCATATATATCCCAATAATTTACTTATCCATATAAATATTACCTAATTCTATTTGATTTTATGCATAGAATTTTGATGTCGTCTGTGCAATAACTCCATAATGTCCTATCATTTTATTTTCCTGTTTGGCTTATATATTTTTTCTGAAGTTGTTTTTTTCCTTCTTACAAAATAACAATAACAAATTCCTAAATGTGGTTTACGTTTAGTCAAAACCAGTTTCTAAATATGTGTCTCTTACAACTATAATAAATCCTCCTATTATTAGTGTCTTACTGAATTTACTCTTGTTTTTTTATAAACGTTTTTCGTTTTTCATTCTTTTCTAACGGTGAGAACAATAATGATATGAAAACCATGGGTCATAGTGACAAAAAAAACGGAAGTCTTATCTAATCAATGTCATATCTTCTTGTAACTTATAAGCTACTGTTAGTGCACCTGATATAACTACTTTTAATTTCACTACTCCTCAATAAGAAGAGAATACCAGAGAAAATAAATCATCTGTTATTGCAGAAGAAAAGTAAAAAAATTGCTGTTTGTAACACCGCATTTCCGTATACATTTAAATAGCTGTAAGGTCGTAAGTCTTTTAAACTAGATCTCCAGAATGTAATCTGATATACAGTAATATATATCCACATATGTGACGAATATAAACCATTTTTGAGAACTTATATGACCATGGTAACCATAAAATAGATTATATGATTGATCATAATGATTAAAGAGCATTAATTGATAGAAGGATATGGTGTGTACTAGTGTAGTAGACTCTGCTTACAAGAATACCTGTAATTAGTGTGTAGCGGGACATGGCGTCAAAGGTACAGTGATTATCAAACGAAGTGAGGAGTTAAGTTTATCGGAAGCGCGGCGTTTGTAGAACACTAAAAAGTAAAGTTAAAATAATTATGAAAGTTAAGTTACATGTAGTGTTGAAATGGTTGTGGACGGAATATATGCTTTCGCTTAACGGGCTTCCGTGTCTAGTAGCACTGGATCACCAATATTCCAGGCAAGAACCTTGGTATATTAACCATAAAAAAGGTAAATCATAGTAGTATACTATCCTTAGTGCTTAAGAATATGTCAAGTTCCCTCTTAAAGGACTCCTACTACGTCTCTTGCACTAGCTCAGCCAGCAGCGAACTCCAGCATTTGTTTACTCTTTAATGGTTGGAGTTGTGTCTGCCATCAGCTCTGCTGTGTTCTGTTTCCAGTTTTTTTGGTGTTACCCCTTAGGTTTTCCTTATCTACTTGGTTTCTCGTGAGTTAGTAGAGAGATATTTTGACAGGGATACATAAATGGCTTGCCATGTAAACTGCGGTGGTCTTAAAATTGGCATACACATTTTAACTCTTAGAAATGTAGATGTAAATGAATCGCCAAAATAGATAGTCCTGTAAGTCCTCGAAATTGACGCTGAACTCATTAATTTCGATGAACATAACCGAAGGATCTCGTTCACACATCCGCATCAGAACAAGAGTGTTACGCCGTGCCACGCATCCATCGTAACCACTAAACAGCTTAGATCCAACGACATTTGACGTATCGATGACTTCAAAAATAAATCTTCGAAGATTTTCATTGTGCTTTAGTTATAAAGATAGTTAGGTTTTATACTTTACTTACTTACGCCTGTTACTCCCAATGAAGCATAGGCCACCGACAAGCATTCTCCAACCCACTCTGTTCTGGGCCTTCCTTTCTAGTTCTATCCGATTGACCTTCATTCTTTTCATGTCTGTCTCCGTTTCTCGGCATAATGTGTTCTTTGATCTTCCTCTCCTCCTTTGGCCTTGACGATTCCAAGTGAGGGCTTGCGTTGTGACGCAGTTGGTTGCTTTCCTCAATGTGTGTCCTATCCACTTCCAGCGCTTCTTCCTGATTTCTTCCACTGGAATCTGGTTTGTCCTCTCCCATAGTAGTTTGTTGCTGATAGTGTCTGGCCAACGGATTCGAAGTATTTTGTGTAGACAGCTGTTAATAAACACTTGTATCTTCTGAATGATGGCTTTTGCAGTTCTCCAGGTTTCCGCGCCATACAGTAGAACTGTCTTGACAGTTGTATTGAAAATCCTGACCTTGGTGTTGTTTGACAGTTGTTTTGAGTTCCAGATGTTCCTCAGTTGTAAATATGCTATTCTTGCTTTGCCAGTCTGCGCCTTCACATCTGCATCAGATCCACCGTGTTCATCAATGATGCTGCCCAGATATGTAAAGGTTTTTACATCTTCCAAATCTTCTCCGTCAAGTATTATTTGATTGGTGCATGTTATATCGTATCGGAGAATCTTGCTTTCCCCCTCCTGTATGTTGAAACCTAATGCTGTTGAGGCTGCTGCTACACTGGTCGTCTTCTGCAATTGTTGTTGCGTGTGTGATAGAAGAGCCATATCATCTGCGAAGTCTACATTGTCCAGCTGCATCCTAGACGTCAACTGTATACCATGCTTCCCCCGAGATGTTGTCGTCTTCATGATTCAGTCGATCACCAGGAGAAAGAGAAAGGGTGGGAGTAAGCAACCTTGCCTGACACTGGTCTTTACTTCGAACGAGTCTGTCAGCTGTCTTCCATGCACGATTTTGCAGTTTGATCCATCATATGAGTTCCGTATGATATTAACTATCTTCTGAGGCACGCCGTAGTGTCGAAGAAGTTTCCATAGTGTTGTTCTGTCCACGCTATCAAATGCTTTCTCGTAGTCAATGAAGTTGATGTACAGTGATGAATTCCATCCAATTGATTGTTCCACGACGATCCGTAAAGTTGCGATTTGGCCTGTACACAATCAGTCTTTACGGAATCCTGGTCACGAATTTTGGCGTCTACGCAGTCCTTCATCCTGTTCAACAATACCCTGCTGAAGACTTTCCCCTGTATTGAGAGAAGAGTGATGCCTCTGTAGTTATCACACTTGCTGAGATCGCCTTCGATATTTTGACTAGAAGTCCTTCTTTCCAGTCTTTTGGTACTTGTTCCTCATCCCAAATCTTATTGAAGAGAATGTGGAGTATCCTTGCAGTTGCCGCTACGTCTGCTTTTAGTGCCTCTGCTGGAATGTTGTCCGGTTCTGCTGCTTTGCCACTCTTGATTTGTCTGGTGGCTATGCTGATTTCTTCAATTGTTGGTGGGCTAACATTGATTGGGAGGTCTGTGTGTGCTACGTCGATGTTGGGTGGGTTCAGTGGAGCTGGTCAATACAAGAGTTCTTTGAAGTGTTCTACCCACCTGTCTTGTTGCTCTTCAATGTTGGTGATTACCTCGCCTTCCCTGCTTTTCACTGGTCGTTCTGGTTTGCGGCGATTTCCAGAGAGTTTCTTTGTCGTGTCATACAATTGTCTCATGTTTCCTTCCCTTGCAGCCTTTTCTGCCGCCGTTGTTAATTCTTCCACATATTTACGTTTGTCGGTTCTGATGCTCCTCGTCACTTGTTTTTTTACTTCTGCGTATTCAGCTTGTGCCTTGGCTTTTTCTGCTCTTGTTCGACTGGTATTGATTGCTGCCTTCTTGTTCCTTCTTTCTTGGATCTTATCCAGTGTATCAACAGTGATCCATTCCTTGTGGTGGTGTAGTATGATCCGGTGAAGTCCATGTGGTTTTGTGTATGTGTTTGTGTGGGAATATGGTGCCGCCTATAACCAATTTATTGAAGGCACATAGATTTGAAAATCTCTCACCATTTTCGTTCATTTATCTCAGTCCGTATCGTCACATGATGTCTTCATATCCAGTGTTGTTCATTCTAAACTTGGCATTGAAATCTCTCATCAGACCCTCTGTTAGGCACTTCTCCGTGATTGAGTGCAGCCTATTGTAGAATTGATCTTTAGCGTCTTCGTTGTAGTCGTTGTTAGGTGCATGTCATTGGATGATGTTCATTGAAATGACCTCTTTCTCTTTCTTTGAAGGAGGCTTTGATGATCCTTGGTCCATGAGATCCCCATCTTATAAGCGCATTTTGCGCTTGTTTGTATAACATCAACGCAACTCTTTGTGTATGTGGGGCATTTTCTTCTTCATGGCCGGAGTATAATAGGAGCACCCCTGAAGTTAGTCGTTGTTGTCCAACTTGCGTTCAATGTGTTTCACTGATCCAAAGCACCTCTATGTTGTACCTCCTCATTTCTGTAGCTATTTGGAAGGCTCTCCCGGTGTCCCACATTGTACGAACATTCCATGTACCTAAATAAATGGTTGCTCTGGTTGTCACAAAGGGAATCAGCCTTGTGACTTCCGAAGGAACTCGGCTTTCATCATGAGGCGTCGCAGTTTTTCTAAATGAAGACCTTCTAATTCCCAGGGCAGGGCTTAAAAGGCTCGAATAATTTTTTCTAGTTAGCGTTTTTTAGCGAGTTGGTTTTCTACGGGATGGGGTCGCTAACTCCATGCCCAACCCTCCTCCTTTATTCGGGCTTGAGACCGGCAGTAGATCTTGGAGGGACTCCAGACGTAGTTATTTAGGTTTTATAGTTTATAGTATTTCCAAAAATAGCTTCCTGTTTGAAGACTTATTATGGTTTAGGCGTCTCCAAAATTTACATCTGATTCTTTACTCTAAAACTCTCTTAAAAAGGAAAAACGGCCAAACTCTCTGTGAGATATGTATCGTTAAGCTTTAAAATCTGGGCTCCATAAACCTCCACATTTTCACAAACTGATTTCACAACAGAAATTCCTTATTTCCTTGATTTTCTGGGTACTTCTGTGAGTCATTAGTTTCCGTTGAGCATTTGATTATCAATACGTCTTTGTGGGCAGAACTATGGACTTTAAGCTGTTCTATACCATCAAGACCCATAAATAAGACAATGGCTTAACATTTCGTGATCTCGTAGATATTGGATAATGTACGTGAGAGCGCAGTTTAAAGAAAGTGCTGTAGATGGATGGTCTTAGTATTAGCCTTTCGGATCGCTGGTCTGCTAGCTCTGTTTCAGGATTTATTATTTTCAGTTATACCATTAGTTATTTACTCGTAGTTTATATGCACTCGACATTTTCAGTATTTTCAAAGTTGACACCACTACCAGTTAGATATCTGATTTTTTAGTCATGGATAACAATTAGTTCCCTTCAGAGTTTTTAAGGCAACATAAAGCGGTGATATGAATAGAATCGGCCAATTATTAGTTGTTTCATGAATGTATGCCGTCCCAAATGTAAGGAATGTTTAAAAAGACACTTCTCCTGGCGTAGAGATGGTCCATTCTGCCAAACTGAGGGAAGCAGCCTCAATCCTGGCGACACCGCTTAGCGTGATGGTCTCACACTCGCTAAGGCGAGGCAAACTACCGGAAAATTGTAAGCTGACTCACATCACACCAGTTTTCAAGGAAGGTCGACGCAGCGAACCTTCAAGTTACCGACCGGTGGTTGTTCTCTCTATACCTTCAAAAATTATGGAGTCCCTGATATGCGACGGTTTATACGACTATCTACTGTTCTTAAATTTCTCATCCCAACAGCATGGTTTCAGGAGGGGCTACTCTTGTATAACCAACGTGCTGACTGCGGTGGACAGATGGACAAGCATCCTCGATTTCATGAGAAAGGTTGACATCATCTACCTAGATTTCTCAAAAGCTTTTGATAAGGTTAACCATTCATGTCTTATCAATAAGTTTAATCGATTGGGTATCATACCACCTCTGATTGGTTGGCTCACTTCATATCTGAAAAATCGACATTTTAAGCTTAGGGTTAACTTCACTTTATCTCAGGCCATGGAATGTCCTAGTGGGGTCAGCCAGGGTTCAGTACTAGGACCTCTTCTCTTCTTGATTCATATAAATGATCTTCCAAGACAGGCATCGTCAGACAATTATTTCTGCTGATGACGTGAAACTTTGGAGAGAGATACGCAACCAAGACGATAAACAGGCACTTCAGGAGGATCTGACTCGACTCCAAAGTTGGGCAGACGACAACAGACTGCAGTTACATCTTAAGAAACTCCTCTCTAGTAGTATCCAAAGTCGAAAAAGATTTAGGAGTCCTGATGCCCTACGATTTGAAGTCTTACGCTAACTGACAAAAATGCCTTTCGAGCAAATCTTGCACTGGTAACATTGAAGCGCATTTTTAGCCAGTTTGATGAAAGAACTTTCACAAAATCTTCAGTTTTATTCGTCTTCATTTGGTGTACGGAAACAGTATTTCCTCTCTCACTCCAAAAGGATAAGGACACTGGAGCGTATCCAACGGCGAGCCACGAAGTCAGTTCGGGGACTCAAATTCCAGCCATATGAAGAGCGCCTCCAATCACTAAACCTTTACCCATTAGAGTATAGGCGTCTTAGAGGTGACCTCCTGATGGCTTAAAGTATCCTTAACATTTCTGGACACCCCCTTAAACACCTATTTAAGCGGTAACACCCAGAAATCGGAGATGCAACATAGCAGAACAGACTGTAGACACAACTTCTACTTCTTAAGAGTTGTCAAATGCTGGAATTCGCTGCTGTCTGAACTAGTGCAAGAGACTTCCCAGGAGTTCTTTAAGAGGAAACTTGACCTACTCATAAGGACCAAGGATAACATCTCATTGGGAGTTACCAATTTCTTTTTTTCTTCCAATCTTTTATGGTTAATATTCCTAGGTTCCTACCTGAAGGTATTGGTGATCCCCTGCTACTAGACACGGGAGCCTGTTAAGCGAAAGCTTCTATTTCGTCCACAACTATTTGAACTACGTTTAGACCTTAGTCGATTGTTCATGTCGAAATATTACCATACACTATCTTGCAGTTGTGATTATTAAGTAAAGGTAGCCATTAACTATTCTCACTTCGGTATGTTCACAACAGCTTTGTATTATTGAGTGCCGACAACTGTTATTTATTACATCTCTTTTTTCATACGATTAAGAGGATTTCAACTACGTAAATTCTTTAGATGTGAAGAAATAGTCACATACTGTCGATTTCATATAGCTATGTTAGACTGCCTCGCATGAACAATAATTTGCGTTATTGTAACGTTTACGAAATCCCGTGCTGTGTACATGACTTATGTAATTACTTTCTAATTTATTCTAAGATGTCTAACTGATGGAAATTGTCAGCATTGATTCGCCGAAGTTCCGAATCGGAGATCTGAGAAAGCAGTTTATTTCCTGTCTACCCAATGAACATAAAATATTGAAGGAAAACGAAGCTAGTGAACTTATTACATCTGAGTTTAAGAAGATCGTAACTGATTCTTCAATATTCAAGCAGCTTGAGAATGATTGCAGGTAAATCTATATACAATTTGAGATTTTTGTTTAGTTTGGAAAATTTATACGTCGATAGAGAGTACACGACCTTAGAAGAAATCTTAAAAATCATACCATCGAGGAAAGATGAAAAGCAGCTGAAAACCCTAACTCATTTACTGAAAGAAACTGAAGGTTTGAATTCTAGAACATCAGTCCTCACAGCAATGCAAAGAAATCCTCGACCACTTGTGGATATGTCTTACCGAAATTCTGTTGATGAATCTCCAGAGGCAACAGAAGTCATCCCGGATGTATTTGTGACCGTTCTTGTCTACCGACCATTTAGCCTTCCTAACATTGATCCCTGTGCACAGGTATTATTGGTCATTTTTAGCGACTTTGTAAGTCTCGGCAACTAGTCATTACTCAGAGGTTGGTGCTGTTGTCCAAGCAAAATCTCACAGTCTTAAGGGAAGCTATTAAGTGTTCACAAGATAAAGTAAGTGTTAACCCTGTGTAAACAGTTATCAGGTTTGGCTAGGAGACTGTAGCGAGGCCCTTGATAATCCTGAACTGCGTGTTTCGGCGGATAAAATATACCCTTCTTCATACTTTTTCATTGAAGGCACGTTTTATGATGATTTGCGGAACGCAAATAGCAAGAGCCTTGGGGAGTAAGTTATTTTGTTTACTTACGTTATACCGTAGAGAGGTTATACAGTGGGCGAAAAGCAAGAAAGAACTTAAGACGTATGGGCCTTTTACATCATTACCAATGGAATCAGTGACTCTCGAAAATCTTGTTATTTGTATTGGAAAGCCATATTTCTTCGTACACCAAGGAAATTGTGAACATATGATTATCTTCTCCGATATCCGGTGGGTTTAAGAACTCATTCCTTAATTCTGGCATTCCGCTTTATCTATTATACTAGCAATTTACTTGAAATTGTGGTTAACCTCAACCTTATCAATTTGTAAACTATTGCGTCACCAAATTGACTACTCTTAACCTATTGTTTGGCTAAGTAAATGACCATTCTGGGATCCCATATCGGTATTTCGAGGACAACTTACATTCAGGACATGGGATTCTTGAGCCCCAGCAAGTGAACCTTGTTGCTCGGTTGGACATGGGCTTCGGACATTAAAAGGATCACCGAATAGTTTAGAGCGTGGCTTCAGTAAACTTTTGACGCCATTTTGTTAACTCGAATAGTCAGTACTAGTGGCATGTCTAGGAGAAGTTGAAGATTTATGTTTAACGAATTATTAGTGAGTAAAAGAGGGATTGATTGTGAATAAGGTGACATCAAGTTCTGCTAGATATATAAGGGTGGGTGTTAGCTCCGGTCTCCAGACCTCGCGGAATCATTCTTGAAAGAAGGAACGAATTTTCACTTTACTCTTGAAGAACCTGAAAAATAAACTGGTCTTGGTGTAATTTTGACTAACTAAAATGAGTCACCGCAGAGCTCAAATGCTTGAAGTAATCAGTAAATTAATTTTAGAAGGAAATGAAAGGGAAATATCGCCAATAAATTGTAAAATGAACAGCCACGCCAGTGTGGGTCATCATTATTCTTCACATTATTGTGCAATCAGAAAACTGCGGCATGTTGCTGTTGGCTTTACTATTAATTCTAAAACCGCAACCTGTCAGAATGTTTCTGTTATAACGCTCGCTTTTATTTCGTCTAATGTTATTATAGTTGGGTTTCCACTTTTACATGTATGGGACGCTAATTTACCTTAGACGAATATCTACACTAGATTCCCTCCCAGTGTCTATTCTACAGGACGTCAACAGAACTCAAATCAAGAATACATGACTATCCTGATCACAACGTAAATATACTTCCACACCAAAAACCCGACCCAATTCAACAATAATGTACAATAATAAGTGAGAGTAATAATAAGGATATGGTAATATATAACTTATCTGACACCTGTCAGACTATCTACATGTCTGACTAAGCAGACAACCAATCATTGTCATTCTCGCCCACACATCAGTTTCAATGCCTTTAAATGTTATTTTGTCATTTGTTCCAGAAATAAACACAGCAAGTTTTTCGGTCACTGGTTGTTTATTAGATATCGGATGATATGAAACCATTATGATCGACATTCTGACTGATACATTAACCAGGTGACTCCGCAACACATTGTACTGGAAACACGTCTCTAACAGTTTGAAATATACATAACTCGCGAATTCCTCATTAGGATAAAAAAGACAATTTGCATGCTGTATGCTATCGTTTAATTTGGAAGTTTAAAGCAATAGACAAGTTTCAGACAGCTATTTTCACAATTTTTTTAAACTTCAGTCTTGTAGATCGTGATTCATGTCAAACGGAGTCCTTATTCCCAATGCTCACCGGTCGATGCAATGTACGTGTAATGCATTGTTTCGTTTGCAGACGTCTTGCATCCCGCTGGATAGTTACAGAGTGTGGGACCATTTTACCTGTCGATCCATGTCCAATATGTGACGTATGCATCCGACTGCTACTTTACACTGCTGATGGAAAGAAGATTAATCCGCGTTTTAGAGTTTTGATGTATTGTGGAGAGGAAATTGTAGTGTGAGGCCTCATGTAAATAATTTAAAATAAATACTTTAAAAAAGCATTTCACTTTTCACAAATCAAACTCTAAAATTACACTAATAGCAATCTTCAGCTGTTTTTCTGTAGAATTTCGATAATCTAATTAACACGTTGTTACATATCCTTCACTGATAGTTTACGTTTCCAACTAATTCCTATATATTTCAGACAATAAATCTTATGGGTTTTCCTAGAGAGGAGAAAAACAATGAACAAGCAGCGAACACAAACCCATCAGTAGGAGAATCAAGCGCAGATAAAGTTGCGGCTGCTACTTTCGGTGTTTTATCTGAAATTTCAAGTCTCTTAAACACAGGTAAACGTGGTAAATTTAATCAGAATCCCCAGTTGATGTCCACTTTAATACTAAAAACGACTAAATTATCTACTGTAACAACGCAAAACCTGGTTAAATAAAGATCGACCTTGTATTAATTTTCAAGCTAATTAGTTAAAAAAACAAGAAGTGGTAGTTGCGCGTCACAACTTATTAGGACTTATCAAATGTTAGGTGAACATTGGTCTTAGATCCTCTGAATAATTGTTCTATTATTATTATTATCATCACAAAAATGTCCCATGTATAAGCCTTGTTGACTATCCCACTTTTGATTGTGACTAGATTTCTGTAAACGAATACATCTTAGCTCTAAATATCTTATAGCACTACCGATTTCATAATCATAATGGACATTAAGATCTTGGCCTCACGACTTCCCACTATGGAGATGTCACTGAAAGTGGGTGTTATCATGTTTCTTAATTCCACAAGTATGACACGCAGTTTTGACTGGTTGATCGAAAAATTCTACATTCATTTCATCGTAATATTTCACAAATATTACGTAAGCTTACTATATGCTGTTCTCTCGAATACCTACGATCAAATTCGGAGTTATGAGAAATTATGAATGGGGCCTTCAGGATCACCTACAACCCTCATCTTCATCCGAATTTTTTGTAGATGTCCTGTCACAAATGGTGGGTATGTATGAAATTAGGAAATGCTATTGGTTCCTCCTATAATGAAATAGTGTGGCAAATTTGTCTAAATTTTTCATTAAACATATAGTGTACCCGGGTTAACTTCAATTCACGTAATTTTCATTTTAGGTTTAGATAATGAAGAATTGCTGATGTGCATCAAACTAATTGAGAGCGGTGTGAACCCAACTACTCTAGCTTTACTTGTAAACAATGTGAAACAACAGTGCGAACACCTTTCTGAACTCAAAAGATAAGTAAAACTTTAAATCCTGTATTGCATATTTAGAGATTGCAAAATAAAGATTTATTATTAACAAGAAAGAAATCACAGCTTTTCAACGAGTGGTGTTAGCAACAACCTTGTAGTTTGATTAAATTTGTAAACAAAGCGATTACCAATAGTCCAATGTAAGAAACAAAGAAATAATACAATACATAATTAGGATATGTCATATAGTAATATGGAAGCCTTTCAGTATGACAACTCAACCGATGGCATCAGCTATTATTCGACTAACAACGGGATCAGATGAACGTACTGTGATTTGGAAAGTTACACCCTGTTCGTTTGAATGAAGGGATGCATCAGACAATACTTTAGCAAGTTTACATAAGGCCAAAACTTGGTACCCACCACGATATACTCCGGACAGAAGGAGCTGATGAGATGACTTTCCTTCATGAGGCATATGATCAGTTTGATCACAAGGCTGAAGTCCAAGGTGTTCGATAATTTGACGCATCGTTTCTAAAGTATGAGGAAATAACCAATGATTTAAAGCGAAGAAGCATGAGGATTCGTTACATATCTAAAAATCAGTGTTTTACAATAAATATCATTTGATGATCATGAGCGGCTACATAGTATATGTTGCACTACTCTCCAAGAAAACAAAATTATGAACAATTCAGCCGTGTTCTTTCAAAAGCATTAACAAAAGTAATCTAACTCTTTATTACACACTACATAAAAACAATAATCTTAGCTTAATTCCGTTAATTGTGTACACCGAGGGAGAGTACACCCATTTCTAAGGTAAGAAAAGAGATTAGTTTTAAACAGTTCTTTAATGAGAAAAATGTAAATTCACTAGACATTTTCGTCTAGCAAAATAATAGTGAGCCCTATAGATTTTGAGCAGGTGACAAAAAAACGGTAAAACTCGAGGGTTTCCTATAGTTTGAAAATATGAAAAAAAACCATTGTGATTATAAGACAGATTTGTTTTTATCGTAGTCAACATGCTTTACTTTAAAATACTTCTTAATATACTATATCCTGTTTGGGAACAAATCTATTGATAAATTTGACTCCGTTAAGACACTCTATACTTTTGTTTCGATAGTTAAATAACGTTAATTAAAGTTAATAGAATGTCTAACATTTTGATGCACACACTGGGTTTGTATTAATCAAATTGATCTGCGTAATTCATTGGTCATTTAGTTCGAAGTAACAAACTGCAAGTGTAAGATAAAGTATCAACAGTAAAGTTTAGCATACCTTTAATAGTTTTGTGCTTCACCAGCATATACGTCTCCTCTACTTCAGTTTCAGGACTGAGTTCCTGCCAAGCCAATGTAAAGTTCTGTTTCGAAACACGTTGAATATGGTCTGAAATACCTAGGACCAGGTCTTCCAACTGTTATAAAAGTCGGAAGTGTTAGAAAATGAGAAACCAGAAAGTGGATGGGGGATATGATGTACCATAACAAAAGCATACTTAGCGACTTAATTGTTCTTTTATAAGCAAAAATGTATGATGGCTAGCTGTGGAATCTAGGATGTGCGTTCCGTCGTATTAGGGACTTGTCGGTTGGATTTACCGGCATCACCGAGTTGATTTTCACCCCAGGACTCGAACCCAGTACCGCTCGCTCCAAACGCCATCACAAAAGGTGCTGGGTTCGACTCCCGGATTAAACATCAACATTTGGGTGCAGTTACATCTAACTAACAAGTTCCAAATAGTACGAAGCGTGCATCCTGGATTGCACTGCTAGCCACCATCCATTTTTGCCTATAATGCTTGTGACTCAAGGCAATCCGCACAGGATGTTCATATGCCAGTAAGAGACTGATTGATTGCACTCCTAAACATCGATGGGAAAATAAGAACGAACAATACAAAAACGAATTAATTATAATGTGATATTCCCAACGAAATGAAACTTTTTTTGCTTTACTAACATGCAACTGCATTTTGTATACGTCTAACTGGAACATAGTACAGATCCACTTTTGTTACTTAGTTACTTTATTGACAATGTTCGACTACATATGCGCCTTGAAACTAAATACTGAGTAAATTAACAATATCGATGGGCCTTCGTGTGGACTACCGAATACTTCACTTGATACGACTGTTTGGTATTTTTCAGATCTAAAAAACTACTTGTTAAAGAGCAATGACTACGTTTGTTAAACGTGTAAGGTTTAAAATGGATCAAATATGAAACAAGTTAAACCTTTGGATTTATTACTATTGTTCATACTGACAATTAACAAAGTATCACGTTCATCCAAACTCCTAATGATTTTCGGGTACTAAAATAATAGTCTAGCCATGCAACTACAAAATTAGGTGCATTACATGGATAAAATATTTCCTGTAAATATCTGGTGAGATATTTAGAAAATGATGAGTAGAGTTGGCTAACCAATGTTCATACCAAAAGTAATCGTACGTCTTCTAACTAATTACTGTATAAGTCCAGTATACGAGGTAGCTGTAGAAAAGCAGCATGTGTCTATGAACTGTGATTAATGATACAAGTATGGTCTTGACATGTCAAATTGCTGCTTTTTTTAGGATTTATTTTACAGAATGACTCAGTGAAAGATAAATTATATTTACAGAATCAAAGTTTATGACATGATGTGTAACACAAACCTCGATTGGGCCCACAAATAACTTACTTGATATTCGTCTGGCAAACCAGGATCCGAAGGATCAGAGTCAATATCTTTGATAGTAAATTTCAATATGTTGATAAACGTAGCAGAATGACATTCTAGATCCTCCGGCAACTCAACTAGAACATACGTCACAGCGGGAGAATTATATTTTAAGCTTTTGCAAGGTACTGTGCAGACAATGTTAAACATGGGATCGTCCGGCTCACACGAAACATAGACATTCTCCAAGACTTGGTCTGCCATTGTATTGATACAATCAAACTGAAACAAATTATTGAATGAAATCAGAGCGAGCAGAGAATAAACAGAAAGTTACTCACTTCTATATGATATTGAATTACTTGACAATCTATAGTTTGATGTGATAAGACTAAGAAAAGACGAATCCGGACTGTTTATATAGCAGCAGTGATCTAAACCTTGTATATCTAGGGCCTAGAATCGTGGTCTTAAGGAAATGTAATGAGATATTAAGAGCTATCAGGCAAACAAAACGCAAATGTGGTTCATTGACTCATCTTTACTGTTTTCTGTATCAGACGAAACGATATCTGTATTGTCGAACTATATAAGCTTCAACAATTAAGTTAACGAAAAATAACTCAATACTCAGAACCAATTGTGTTTACGTGTAAAAAGTGCTTCATGCTTGCTAATAAATGTTTGGAAATCTGACTCACCTGCAAGACTAAATGCCTTGAGAATAAATGTTTTATGCATGATACTACATATTCAGTGTCAGATTCAGTTAATTCTATTAAGGAAGAAGATTTGAATACGGAGCCAAGACCAGAAAATTCGGGTATAGATGCCAGCTGCTCAGCAAATGTATCTTGAATACGTTTCCCTGACATCTGAGAAGCAAGTGATGCGTTTCGACCTTCACCAGCCATCGTATTAGATTTAGCTTGAAAACAACATCAGAATTTATTGAGAAATAATCAAAGTACTTTGTCCTGATAATTGTGAAAAAACAAATGAATATATCGCACTAGAAACAAGATGGTAACCTCGGACTACACGTATCAATGTATTTTGCAGCAGAGAAATGATAAGTGAGAGTGTATCATCTGATACCGAACACGTGTGTAAATCACGACAATCGTTTCAACTCTCCATATACTTCAACCCAATGACCAGTGTCCCAAGAGTGCCGCCATATTTTCGTCTGACTATCCTTGATCTTTTCTAGTTTAGCTGTACTGTTTGAGTAACTCACTTATACAAACCAAATTAGTTCTACCGTGGGATTATTATTTCAAAATCACAATAGACTACTAGTTATTATATATTTTGTCCGCTCGCGATATATTAGTGTTTTTATTATTTCTAGGTTGATCACAGAACAGATAAGATGTGATAGGCGATAAGTATACATATAAAACTCCCACAGCAAAAATACCTCATATAAAATGACATCATCTTTAACTCGGTAACAATATTTTAAACGATGTCCACGAACTTATTTCAAAATTAATTTTTTATTGAATACTCCCTCGGATTATTATTAATACGCATAAGACAGTTTTGCTTACCTTTAATCTTTACAACATCCGATTCAATGGCAGAACTAAGATCATTTGGCTGAACAATATCAGCTATTGGGACTGTCACCAAAGAGAAAGGACTACCAGCAACTGTGTGTGAGTTGTGCACATAATCCAACAAAGCACGCTCTAAACCAGATGGACTTAGATGCATTTCTTCACTTAAAAGGTAAGCAGATTTTAATGCTACTTGGTTATGTGATAAAATATAGTGGTAGAAAGCTGCGCGATCACGAACCTCATCGTCTTCATCAATCATAATTCTAGACGTAGATGAAACAAAAACAGGATGGTTTTGAAGGTAAGTCAAAAAAATGACCATTGAAAGGATCCGTTTGTTTAATACACAGAAAAAAATAATAGCGAGCTTAGTCCCCAACTATATCTGATTTAGATGACACAACACTAACAGAATGGTGAATTCAAAAAGCTAGAAAAAGGCGAAGGACAGGTCAGAAATTCTTCGTGAAGGAAATACAAAAAAAAGTGACCAGCATTTGAATGCATTGTCTATTAATAAACGTTTTCGATGTAATTACCTATTGCACTCATGTTCAGAATATTGTTGTGAATAAAACTGATATGAACAACAAACGGTTGTGATAAACATGCAGTGTGCTCCACACAAATCTTTAGGCTACCTCCTTTCCAAATATAAACAACAACGACCCATGTGTTTGGTTAATTCAGACTAACTATTATTGTTGAACACTAAGGGTTGAGTTAGAGCTTATGGCAAAATGTCATCGGAAATGATAACTTCGTCAGGGTTGTCTGCTTCCCTTATCTCTACCTAACCTTGTCATAACCATGCTTTTGGAGATAACGCCCTAATTGTCTGACTCATCAGAAATCTATCCTCAACCAACAAACTCACTTATTGACTTAAAATTCCATGATATATTTCTGTTAGTTGAAGACACTGAAAAAATGCAAGCTCCTGACCACCTTGAACAACAATGCAAGTGTTTCTCTCCATCACATTGCAGAATGTTACTCCAGAACTGGTCTGTGCCAACGCCTGAACTAATGATCGGAAGTGAAGTAAGTAGGTGCGTCGATCTCTTGACCTATCTTGGAAATCTCACAAACCTTGGTTGATGAAATGGACCAAAATCGTTCGCAATGGCACGAGTATACTTATTTTTTGTCTGCCCTTACATTCTATATATTTAAATTTTGGCGCGAAACTTTCTCGTTCATACGGCAAAAAAGCATTTTGGTATTACAGCTGATGTCAGTTCGTAATGAAAACTGTGACTTATTTTTAACCCTTACGCTCAACAGTAAATTAGTCGACGTTCTCAGCGTCATTTAAGCATCCCTCAAAGGTCGTATCTAAATTAGTCTCGCCGATAGATTTTGCGTTGCGTATGACTGATTGACCAATATTGTCCATTAACCCCTTCTTAATACTTATGGATATTAAAAGAAGCTTGTAAGCCATCACTATGCTGAACATTTTAGAAATGAAACGGAAGAGGTTGGTTCTATATTTCTCTATTTTTCCATCCTCGCAGGACGAAGGGACAAGTACATTATAATTCATACCTATTTGTCTAGATTGAGAAGTCATATTATACACCGTTTTTATGGACGTCGTTCTTACTACTGTCTTTGCACTGATGCGAAAAAATTTATTCAGACGAATTACAACTAGAATGAGTAAAAAAATCAACGTTTATGAGTTCATTCAAAAAAAAACTCATTCAGTGTTCAGACCATTTCACGATATCAGTGTGAATCATCTAACCAGTGATGCTGCAGTTTAGTAATATACTTTATAGTACGTTTTGTCGCAACTATCGATCTTTAGTGGGCAGGTATCAACAGAATCTGAGTTGACAGAACAAATGGGTGATTAACTACTAACTTTTTTATTATTTAAAGTCTTGCACATGATTGTTTGTTTTACGTAAACCATGTCAATTCAGACATAGCTTTAATTAATTCGAAATGTCATAAGATATAGACCATAAAATGTGAAGCTCTAAAATACTAAAATTCTAGATCCTTTGGTAGACAAAACGGCAGACTTAAGCTTTTAAGAATTATCTGATTACTGAGAGATTTTTAACACCCATCCCTACATTGAAATGTCCCATGATTTTTTTTAAAATCCTCACCTGTTAATTAATTGTTTATTCAAATTAAACTTTGTACGTCGCTTTACAAACACTATGTTGAATTCCGCATTACAGGAATATTCGAAGTTTGTACGAAGTGCTATTTCCAAATCTAACAAAGCTCAATATGAACAAAAATTTATAAAAAAAAAACCAGACAACAAAAAATTGTGTATACCGTTTAAGAAGTACAAGAATACTCGGAAGTAATTCCTCATTGTGTGCAGCAAACCTCGCCAGAGCTGTTGTAGCTGTGCACTTAATGGGAGCTGATTCGAGCATAACTCTATTGTAAATGTAACGAGTAAATTGACGAGGACGTTTGAGGTAGGGTCCCTCCCGTCCCAACAGATGGAGTATACGCTGTGTTAGTTTAACATGTTCACAATCCTCTATGAAGTCACATAATTGTAACAAACCTATATTCAGATTAGAAATAAGAAATACATATTTAGTAGCGAAGTATAAGCATGTCCAAACGTTAACTTTTATTGTGTCTAACAAATCAAAGAGTGAAAGGGGATAGAGTGTTTAGCAGGAGACGACCTACATGTTTGAAATATTTATCAGTACGATATTGTTTTGAATTGAGTTTTGGTAGAGTTCAACCTCGATTATTAAGTTTATTATGTGTGAAAGTATAAAAATTACTGGTTAGCCATTTAGCATTTAATCAATAAACCACAGGCTCGAATCACGCGTTCCATAATTTTCTTTACGCAGTTGGACAATATCATTAGTCCAAATCGAATTGCATACATCCATATTTAGCCAATGAGTTACTGTAACCCTATATAATGAGAGAGAACCCTATATAACCCTATATAATGGGAGAGAACAAAGCAACTTCCAGCTGAAGAGGAAATTAGGAAAAGACGATGGAAATGGATAGGACATACATTACGCAAATCGTCAAACTGCATCACGAGGCAAGCCCTAACTTGGAATCCTGAGGGGAAGCGAAAAAGAGGAAGGCCAAAGAACACATTGCGTCGGATAATAGAAGCAGATATGAAAACGATGAATTACAACTGGACGGAGCTAGAAAGGATTGCCCAGGACAGGGTTGGATGGAGAACGCTGGTGAGCGGCCTATGCTCCTTCACGAGGAGTAACAGGCGTAAGTAAGTAAGTATATAATGAACATACGTTGGAGATCCTTCTACATGAAACAAACGTAAAAAAATATTTCACGATGAGCGAACCTTGTGTAAAGATTAGTCTGCCCAATAAATTTCCACTTACGACCCCATGATGACGGAAATATTAGACTACTAAATTTAATCCAACACTTATTTATGGGGCATGGTCAGACAAACATGATACACAGCTCCATATTGGCACATACAGTTAGCAGTGGTCATATGGTCGATAAAACTACTTAGTTTCAAGTGATTTATCGTATCCTTCAGTCACTTCTCAATAAAACTCGATTTCGTCTTGCCCATATAGCAGAAACTATAGGGATCCGAGTCTATAACTCCAGTTCATGTGTTCAGAAATAATTCGTGACACCCCTGTCCCTTCGTTGTCTGGATATGATTTATTAAACGATTTCGCCAATTTACTTACGTGCTGTAATTGTTTTTTGTCCTTCACCTCTTTTTGTCTATATTCTGATTATTTACATGACTTTTTGTTGCGTAATTTTATTTATTTATTCCAGTTTGAGCTATTCCTATGTTAAACTCTTGACTAGAACTTTTATTATTTCTATCACTACTAGTACACCTATCTGCTTACCATTAATTTGTATTTTTCCTCTTATTACGTTTATTCGTGTAACCTGTTTCATTGTGATCACTGACTCACAAACTGCCTTGATTGTTTCAATATTTTTATATACCCAGACAAATATTTCATGCGTACAAGAGTAAGAGCTGATGACAACCCGATTGAGAACAATATTGTTCGCTTGTATTTGTTCTAACTTACAAAATGGAAATTTTTAACGAACTACTCTGTAAAAATTTCCAGAAAAACATAGGGCAAAAGTAAATCATCAACGCTGGTGAACTACTTGCAAACACGAAAACCACTGTTTAGTCTGTATCTTACATTTTTAGTAACTCAAATAGTCATACTGTGATCCGTCGGGTGTGGAAGAATGGGATTTGTTTAGCTGATGTGTCAAACTAAGTGAACTGATGTAATCAACTTGGCTGGGTCTGGCGCCTAGTGAGACTACACAAGTAAATACTGATTTTCTGTGAGGTTTTTGCAATTTGAAGCATGTTCTTTTATCGGTGCGAATTCTGAGCGCAAAAAAATTATATATTCAAAATGTCTACATAACGGCTGATGAAACTCAGGGGTCAAAGCTAGCTAATAAAGTGAAAGGAATCGTAGAATCTGACAACTGTATAAAGTTATTTCAGCCAATAAAATCAGTTATCAGAAATCAGTGTCGTATGACATGTAGTAGTCCCAGTTACTATAAACATCTAAGCTGAAGGGAAAGCACGGCGAACAACATGCTCGATCCTCCTACAACTTTGACTAAATTCAACTGCAACCCCATAATTAATAAAGACCGATGAAACATACGGTGCGTAAATGAAGAATGAATTTCACTTACTACATTGGGTGGTAAACAGCTTACATAACTGCCCCCGCCCCACCGCATTTTTAAAGATGGAGACTTTTTAATCAAAAAGAAACCATTGTAGTACCCGTTTTGAAAAAAAAAACACAATAAGTCCTAATCACGAAAATACAGTTCTACTACCAGTTACGTTGAGAATACTAGTTGGTGTACATCAAAGTAATTGTGTCATGTTTCATGCATTTCAATCGTCCAGTAACCTAAATGTAATCTAACATCCTGGCTGAAATAAACTAGCATTCGGAAAAGGCTACAGAAGCCCCCAACAAGATACGGAACCAGTTCATCAAGTTAGTGCCTGTTGGTCGAATCTTCATAAGACATGGTAGACTACTTCTATGAAGTCTTTGACATGATATATTACAATTTTTGTGAGTACGAATATCATGTAATTCTGAAATTTGCTAAACTATTTCTAAATTAATCTGAGCATTCAGATTCATAAGCATACAAATAATCAATCGCTTATTTTACAAACATTTACGCACATCCAATGACACCTGTTCACGATACCAAAGAAAGGCGATCTCAGCAAGTGTGATAACTACAGAGGAATCACACTACTGTCAGTAACAGGAAAGATCTTCAACAGGGTGTTGTTAAACAAAATGAAAAACTCTGTAGGCGCCAAACTTTGAGATCAACAGACTCGATTCGCAAGAATCGATCAGGTACCGACCAAATTGCAACACTACGGATCATTGTGGAACAAACAATTAAATGGAATTTACCACTCTACATCAACTTTATTGATTACGAGAAAGCATGTGATAGAGTGGACAGAACAACACTAAGTAGGTTTCTTCAATACTACGGAATTCCTATGATGGATCAAACTGCAAAATCGTGCATGGAAGGCAGCTGACAGACTCGTTCGAAGTAAAGACCAGTGTCAGGCAAGGTTGCTTACTCCCACCCTTTCTCTTTCTCCTGGTGATCGACTGCATCATGAAGACGACAACATCTCGGGGGAAGCATGGTATACAGTTGACGTCTAGGATGCAGCTGGACAATGTAGACTTCGCAGATGATATGGCTCTTCTATCACACACGCAACAACTGCAGAATACGACCAGTGTAGCAGCAGCCTCAACAGCATTAGGTTTCAACATACAGGAGGGGGAAAGCAAGATTCTCCGATACGATATAACATGCACCAATCAAATAATACTTGACGGAGAAGATTTGGAAGATGTAAAAACCTTTACATATCTGGGCAGCATCATTGATGAACACGGTGGATCTGATGCAGATGTGAAGGCGCAGACTGGCAAAGCAAGAATAGCATATTTACAACTGAGGAACATCTGGAACTCAAAACAACTGTCAAACAACACCAAGGTCAGGATTTTCAATACAACTGTCAAGACAGTTCTACTGTATGGCGCGGAAACCTGGAGAACTGCAAAAGCCATCATTCAGAAGATACAAGTGTTTATTAACAGCTGTCTACACAAAATACTTCGAATCCGTTGGCCAGACACTATCAGCAACAAACTACTATGGGAGAGGACAAACCAGATTCCAGTGGAAGAAATCAGGAAGAAGCGCTGGAAGTGGATAGGACACACATTGAGGAAAGCAACCAACTGCGTCACAACGCAAGCCCTCACTTGGAATCGTCAAGGCCAAAGGAGGAGAGGAAGATCAAAGAACACATTATGCCGAGAAACGGAGACAGACATGAAAAGAATGAAGGTCAATCGGATAGAACTAGAAAGGAAGGCCCAGAACAGAGTGGGTTGGAGAATGCTTGTCGGTGGCCTATGCTTCATTGGGAGTAACAGGCGTAAGTAAATAAGTGATATTCAATTGTTTGCAGTCAGTTTTAATGACAATTTTGAGAAAGTTAGTGTTTCAAAAAATTATTTGAAATCAATTCTCTGATGATCAAGAATTTCAAGCGATTATCTTATTTTGCTAAATTTTAGAAATGAGAAAAGTTTATAGAAACGCGTAAGACAAACCTACCTATACTTTTGGCTTCTGGAATTTGTTTGATAATTGATTCGATAGCAACCACAACTGCTTTTTTAAAAGTGTATCCAGCCGAATCACGAAGAAGTCCAGATAAAAAGTTTAATAACACTGTATACTTTTTGGGGTACTTTGTTGCTAATGCATGGATAGATTCCAATACGACTATTTTAAACTCATCGCTTATTTCACTCATGAACGGAGATACATGTTTTAGCAAACGTTCAACATTCGACTCGTTACCCGTCTAAAAAATTTAATAAATTAATAATATTCTAAGCTGTGTAATTCCATATAGTCTATAACTATAGCACATTACAAGTTATATTGCGCCAAATTGAGTTCTCACACATTTTAATAACGTTGAAAGAGGAAACCAGAAAAATAAGAAAGTAAAAAAGTGAATCAATGTTGAGTATTCACAATAGTATTAATTATCCATACTCCTACCAACCGATGTTTTATAAAACGAAAATCATACAGAATGGGAATAACTTACCAATCATTTTAGGCAAACCACTGAACTAGCTTAAAAGAAACCCTATGTTTAAGCTCTGGGCTACTAAAGAATCTACGACAATAAATTATAGATCGATGCGGTGTTTCCATGTATGTTTTTACCTTGTAGGTCTTAAATTAGATCTACGATCGTTGAAAGGGCACAATAGTGTGCCAAGTACGTTGAATCAGAAAACTAATATTTACCTGTCTTGATTTTAGATAGTTTATGGCCGCCAACATCAGTTACTTTAGGTATTAAAGAGGGATTATGGTGGATACACAACTCACTGATATTGATTACTGAAGGTCGCTTGGGAATCGCTAACTGCTACCGACCAAGGTTTGTGCAGATTCTGATCATGGTAGGAATCACAAATAAAAATGAAGCTAGTAGTCTACCGCAGTTTTAATCACTTACCTTTAGTAAAGTTGTTATTGCAAGTGTTGCAATGCTTCTATTAGGATCACCGATTAATTGCTCAAGATCGAGATTACATGCAGTTACCGCTGCAGGATGGTTAGTGGCGACAGCATTTAACGTATGTACAGCAGCATATCGTAACGCAGGTTTGGAAGACGTACAAAGCAGTTGTAAAACACCTACAGCAGGTGCTAACTCTTTAGCTGTTAAGTTTCGGAGGCTAATTATTGCTCGAGCTGCTTCATATATGACCATTTCCGATTTATGGCGAAGAGATGACTCCAAAAACTCATATAATTGTGGATTATTCCTTAAGAAAGTGTGAAAATATGGTTTAAGGGGGTAGAAAAGACATTTTAAAACGGCAAACTGCGTTTGAAGATGTGAAGAAGACAGAATAGCACATTATACATATCATACAAAATATGTGGATCAAAGTCAGAAATCATTTCTCAGTATAGTGTATGTACACAGCAATTGATTTGACCCAGACAGTTCAAACAAATTCGATTTGTTTTGGAATACAGGAAGTATAGGACATTACTATGGTTTATACACCTTAAAATTTTAACAATACATACGACATACTTCACGCGAAAACGACGACAATATATGAAAAAACGTGGTCTACGAGCTAGTTAAGATCTTGAAAAGCATGAGAACTCATATGCAATAGTCAAGAGAGCATATGGATATGGAAGAATTACTCCGATCCTAGTGTGGTCATTCAATTGAACTCACCTCGGCTAAACGGAGAGCCGACAAGATACACCCTGCGTGCATTTAGAGACCCGATGGCTAGTTCTCGTCAACTGGCAAGTGTGGGCATAGCACTGAGTACGAAGGCGGAACAAGCACTATTAGAGTGGATCCCCGTTAACAGTCGCCTATGTGTTGTTCGGTTAAACGGCTACGTGAGAACTCCGAAGGGTAGGGACACACATTGCCTTTTTGTCGTTTCTGCCTACGCTCCCTTCTGAAAATCTTCAGAAAGCTAACGGTTCAGACATAGCACTCATAGCAGATGACTTTAAGGCCCAGGTAAGTAGCTGAAACCACACAGAAAGACATTTAGGTGAGTATTTTACTATTCCGGTTCAGCGTACAGATAATGGTGATCGTCTACTGCAACTGTGCTCAGACAACCAGTTATTTTTCAGTCAGTCAGTAAAAACGTAGAACTTCGTACGTACGTACGTACATCAGTTCGAGTTGCCATACCACATTAGCACAGAGATGCATTGGTCGATTCAAATCCCGTAGTGGTAGAGGTAGTAACAGTATAAACAGTAATTGGAAAGATCAGGGTTTGAAGATGTTAGTCAAGGAGTATAATACACTGAAATAAATTTGGAAAGAAGAAAAAAAGGACATGAAGAATTCAGAAAATTAGAATTTGGGAGAACACAAAGAGTAGATGCATCTGCGCCATTGCAAACGATTTTGAGCCATGTCATTCACGGTCTCTAACCATCGGTTGCTATCATCTCGCCGTCCCCAACCAGGTAGTCTACACCTACCAACATGACTCAGTTCACTTGTCAGTGACTTCATGGACTTGTGCCATGTTTTGGTCTGGCCGCCCCTAGCTTTCTTCCAACCTACTCCTATGCCACTGAACATCGCACGTCGAGGCAGTCAATCGTTGGCCAAACGTTACACGTGTCCCAGCCATCTCAACTGATGAAGTTTCACTACTTCATCAATTGATTTGCCATCCTTACCTAGTACCCGTTTCCTAACAACTGTGTTACTTACTCGATGGTCCCATGATATACGAGCAATGTTTCGAAGACACCTATGATCGAATACTAGTAACCTACGAATATCCTCTACTCTTACCGGCCATGTTTCACTGCCATAAAGAAGGACGGGACGAACTGCTGCGCAGTAAACACGTCCTGTGGTTGGTAGACGGATACCTCACCTACACCATAAATGACGCATGTTGGCAAAGGCTAGTCGAGCCTTCTGTATCCGTGCTGAGATTTCGTCACACACCAGACCACAAGGGCTGATGAGACTTCCAAGATAAGTGAAGCGATCAGCACGCTCAATTACTTCATTCCCTATCATTAGTTCGTGTGTCAATGCAACTCAATCCTGAAGCAACATTTTGCATTTCGAGGGGGAGAATCGCATCCCGAACATGCCTGCATTGTTGTTGAGAGTGGTCAGAAGACTCTGCATTTTGTCAGCGTCTTCACCAAATAAAACTATGTCATCTGCATATTCTAAGTCAACAAGTGAACCTCCCGGTAGAAGTTCAACCCTTGTAAAGTCAGATGAGGAAAGTGTTATCTCTAAAAGTACGTCGACCACAAAGTTGAACAAGAATGGGGAGAGTGGACAGCCCTGACGAACACCACTTGAGGTAATCAATTCTGATGACAGTTCGCCATAAGCTCTCACTCTACCAGTTGTGTTCGAGTAGAGAGCCTTTATAAGGTTAATGTACTTCTTTGGTACTCCTTTCAGTGACAAACACTGCCATAGAACCTCACGATCAACAGAGTCGAATGCCACCTTAAGGTCGAGAAATACTACAATTAAGGGGCGTCTGAACGAGTGTCTGTGTTCTAGAACCTGACGTAGTGTGAATATCTGGTCTATACAACCACGTCCAGGTCGAAAACCAGCCTGATTTTCTCTAGTCTGTTCTTCACAAGCTTTGGTTAGGCGTCGAAGTATTATTAAGGCTAATATTTTAGACACTATATTTGTCAAACTGATTCCTCTGTGATTGTCACAAGAGGACTTTTGTCCTTTCTTATAGACTGGCACAATCAGTGATTGAGACCAGTTAGATGGGATTACGTCCAGTTCCCAAATTCTACCTAAGACCTCAGTTAATCTCACCGCTAATTATTTATTTATTTCAACACATAAATATTGGTACAAGAGGGCACCAAATATATATGCCCCACACCATATTTATGTGTGTGTGGACTGTGATACTGCCCGGATGCCCAGACCGAAACAGGTGCTTTTCTTAGAGGACCACACCCCGAGCCTTTGACCTAAAGGTCTGACCCACAAGGCAGTGGGGCATGGTGAGGAGATGCAGTCCCATGGAAGCCGGTGACCAAAGACTAGTTCATACGCCATTTGTTCCCTCAGGATACTGGAGCCCATGTGCACCGCTAATACTGGACCACCATCCTTAAAAATCTCAAGGGTAAGCCTGTCAGGACCTGCTGCTCTCCCTCGTTTCAGATTTCCTATTGCTTTTTCAACTTCGCAAAGAGACGGAGGACTTGCATTAACTTGCCATGCAGGTTGACTGGAGATCGTTGAAAACCGAAGTGTGGCTGAAGGCCAGTTGTACTGATCCCTAAAGTGATCCGCCCATCGATCCAATCTCCTGGATTGAAAATGTATAATATGTCCTGTTAGGATAGTCGGAAAAATAGACCAATAATTATCATGTTAAGTCCAATGGTGTCCTTGGACTTTAAATGGACATTTCATATTGGTCGATATCTGTTCACTTATTGAATATTGTACAAAATGTTGTTTTCTATTTTATGGTACGATGTGGTATGCTTGATTGGTATATAAACAAAGTATGTTTGAAATATAATGATTCATAACTCAGAGGCTGTGACTTGTGTTCTTGACTCAACTGGCTGGGTTAGACAGGGAAGCAGGGCCAATCAGGGCACTAGGTCGTCCTTACGTGTTTGTGTCCACTGTCACAGGAGCGATCGATAAATACGCTGCTTATCAAACCCTGCAGTCACACCCGTTACAACAGTCCATCTTTCTCTGAGATTGTTTCGCTAACAGTCGGGTTACTAATACCGGTTTCCTTAACAAGTCTGAACATTTGTCTGCTATTACCTATCGCCGCTGCCTTTTCCATCTCTCTTGCTTTCGCTAGCCACCACTGTTCGCGATCATTGCATAGGCTTTTTGTCAGCTTGCGCTTAAGCTGACTTCGCTCTTCGTTATGTTCAGATCCAGATGGGATGAGTTTCCGAGCATCTATCAGTGCGGTAGATGCTGCTGAGATCCAGTGTTTTCCCTAAAATTTTGTTTTACCGTATTAGCAGATATCATTGCTGTTTCCACAGCTTTTCGGAAATCATTCCATGCTGCCTCGGGGTGGGCATCACATACATGGCTGCCTAACTGTTTTTCCAGTTGTTCCTCAAATATACTCTTAGCTTGACTATCATTGAGTATGACCCTAAGATGTTTCCTTGCAGCGTCTTTCCTACGTCCAGTAAGACGCAGACAAATATGCGCTCACACTAGAGCATGATCTGAATCTAAGCATGTGCTCCAGAATGAGCGACAGTCTTCTATCGAGCCCCTCAATCGGTGGCTGATAGCGATGTGATCTATTTGGGTCCAACGTTGGGACGAATTAGGGGGTCGCCATGTTAAAAGATGTTTTTCCTTATGCTTAAAGTTAGTATTTGCAAGAAACAGGCGGTTATCTGAGCATAGCTGCAACAGACGGTCGCCATTGTCTATTCTTTGAGCCACAACGCTATAAGATCCGCCCAGGTGTCTTTCCTCTTGCTTAGTTTACCTACTTGAGCAATAAGTCACTAGCCACTATTACTACATCAGAGCGCCTAGCTTTTCGGAGAAGGTTGGAAAGCTTTCTATAAAACTCATCTTTTATATCATCTGAGCTGCAGTCAGTGGGAGAATAGGCAGAGACGACGAAGAGGCAACAACGAGTGTCCCTATCTTTCCGAGTCCTTATTGTTACGTTTAGTCGGACAGCGCACAAAAGACTGTCTACTGGGATCCAGTCTAAGAGAGCTAGTTCTGCCCTAGGGCCCAATGCTATGCAAACAATGCTAGCAAACACCAATTCTAAGCATAAGGAGAGACATAATCTAACATGGCGATCAACTGCACCAAACCAACGATGGATCATGTTGCCATCAGTCAATGTTGGAGAGGGTCGATAGACTATTGTCAATCATTCTAGAATACTTGTTTGGACTCCGACCATGCTCTAATACGGGCATGTATTTGCTTGTTCCTCTCTGGACGCAGGAAAACCACACTAGGAAGACCCATTAGAGTCGAACTCAGTGACGAGGAAGCCAGAAGTAGGTTTCAGGAACAACTGAGGTCATACTTAGGAAATTCTGAAAACGAGGCTGACCCAGATGTTACTTGGAAAGATATACGAACTGTGGAAACAGCAGCGACATGTGTTAGTGATTTGAATTGAGGGGTTACGATAAACCAATGGATCTCTACTAAGTCTATTGCATTGATAGATTCTCGTAAACTCATCCCATCAGGTTCTGAACACGATGAAGAGCAAAAAAAAGTCAGGTC